TCCTTGTTCCCAAAACCAAGATCTTCTTGAGGGAAGGTCCCTAAAATTGAGATCAGAGACCTGAGAGGACCAAGGCTGAGGCAGGGCTGTGAGGCGTGGTCGCAGAAGACCGACTCCTCCCTGAGACAGCCATAGGCTGAGTTTGAAGCTATAGTTTGAAGCTAGCCTGAGCTACATGCCTCAAATACATACACACAAAAGAAAGAAGAGAGGAGACTTCCTGCCCAGGGATGAGGAACAGAGCTGTTGGATGAAGGACTACCAGAGCCCAGCGTAGGCCATGCCAGTGTGAGCCAAGCCCTGTGACGTAACCTGCCCATGCAGTGAGATTCACACATCGGCTTTCTGCGCTGCCTGCCTTGTTAGCAGAAGAACACATCTGTAGTTGGGCAGCATGGGTCGAGAAGTGTGCCCTCCCGATGCCTGCGGCCTTCTCTGCTTGTGGGGCTGGCTGGGCATCTCCTACCCTCCTTTGTCTCCCTGCCCGCTCACCTGCTGGTCCAAGGGGTCCTTGCACACACCTGGCGCTTCAGAGCCTGTCCTTAGCCAAGGCACAGATGTCTCTTACTGACAACCTGGGAGGACTCCTCTCCACAGGGAGCTCCAGTCAGATGTGTCTTGGCTGCAGGGCCCAGGCAGCAGGCCAAGAAGGGCCGGAAATGCTCCAAATCTCTCCTTCCTCCGACAGCCAAGGGAGGGAGGCTGCCCAGAGAGGCCATTTTATAGTGAGAGCCAGCCCTGCCCCCTGCTCTGGGGGGGTACGTGGGGGTGTTGGAGAGAGTGGACCAAGAGAGCATCCTGTATGTGAATGGTCTTGTTAAATTCCCATAGCTCAAGGAGTTGCCTTCTGCCCAGTGCAGGGCTGTGTGGATTTCCTGTGAGGCGTTCCTTTACTGGGATACAGAACTGTGTTGTTGGCAACCGTGATATCTGAACCTGACCTTCAGAAGGTTAAAAATAATGTCATCCCGGTCAGGCCAGGGTTCATCTGTACGTGTGCACGCATGTGTGCAGACACATGCTTCTTACTGAGGCTGTGGGGTGCACAAGGACAATGTTCATGTCAGGTGTTGCTTGTCACGCTCAGGGTACCATTTAGGGGAGCTGGAGTGGGAATGAAATGTTTTGGTGGATTGGGGAGTAGGTGGGGGGAGGATTTCTCCCCGGCACTCATCCCTCATCTGACCTTGAACTTGAACCATAGGGTGGGAGTAGGAGGACCCTAAATCCCCTGTTGCTGGGATTCTGGAACGAGACCCATGTCATCCCTGATTAGTGATTCATCTTGAGACCTACAAACAAGGCCCAGGCTGTTGCCAGTTAGTGTAGCTGTTAGTTTTAGAGGCTGTCCAGGACCTTACTCATATATTTTGTTTATCCTGAGTGAGGTCTTGCTGCTGTCCCAACTTAGGGATAAGGAAACCAAGGCTGCATGGTTGACTCAGTAGCTGGCAGAACCTGGAGCCCAGCCTGTCCCAAGTGGAGGGACACCTCCCTGGCTGTTTCTCTCCAGAGTCTGCCTCAGTAGGAAGACGAGCTAGCCTGGAGTTGGAGGGGTGGTGGGCAGGAGCTGGCTTCTAGTCCCCTGCTCTTCCTTATACTTAGGACTGGCTCCCCCATTGTGCCTTTCTGGCCTTTGTGGACATCCAGAGGTTTGGGGCGTGTGGAGCAGGTGTGTATCAGCAGGCAGGATCCATAGAGAGGGTGTGGCTGGGGGAGGGAGGGGTGGGGTGGAGGAGGAGGGTGAGCAGCATTCCGTGGGACTCCACCTTCCTTGTCAGGGGTACTGTGCATTGTAAAATCCCTTCAGCCCTGAGCGTTCTTGTGCCTGCCCGTGTCCCTCTCCTGGGGAGGTGGACTGGTGTCCACCCCATGATGACCTGGTCGGGAGAATGGCCTGCGCCTGGCTGACAGGGATGTAGCCCAGAGTGTGGAGTATAAGGAGCCAACGAAAGATTCTCTGACACAAGTTTTCAGTCCAAGGATATGTGGTTGGGAGGGATCGGAATTGAGTCTCAGCCTAATGATTCCTTCTGCGTCTCCCTGACTGCCCAAGGACACTGAAGAGAGCAGGGGGTGGGCTCCAGACAGATCACTCACCATTTCATCCTGGGGCAGAAAAGCCTAGTAGTGCTGCAAGGACTGTTGGGAAATGCCTGAGAGCCTTGGCTCTGGGTTCAAATTCTGACTCTGCGGCCGCATCACCACGTGACACCACACCCCTAGCCCCCCCCCCCCCCCCCCCAGGGAAGCTGCAAACTGGGAGGCAGGACCTAACAAATGAATTCCTAGTGAGAATTCAGTGAGGTGGTGATGCATGGCTCTTGTGCTGTGTGCGCGTGGCTGTGGCCCGGAAAGCCTCCCTCGGTCCCTAGGCTCCTCTGGAACCACCTTCCTTGCCTCACAGGGAGGCACTCTGTCTCTAGTGCTCTGGGATATGACAGAAGAGTGTGGGCTTCTCCAGGACCCAGCTCTGTGGGAGCAGCAGGTCCTTGTAGTCAGTCAGTCGGTGGAATTAGTAAACACCTGCCAGGCGGGGGCCAAAGGCTGTGGACTGTAACAGGCGAGGCCTTTGTTAGTCCTGAGGGGAAGAGCCGTGTTGGGGGAAGCCGAATTCAGCCCCGATGACCCTCAAACTCGAGTAGTGCTTGCAAGAGTGAGGCTGCTGTGAACTGGGCCTGTGAGAGGGGCCGCTAGGCCAGCCTCACAGTGTGGGTGTGGGGCGTTTGCTCTGAGAGCCTGCTCTCAAGGTCAGTGTGTTTGTGACCTCCTGAAATGCAGAAGCTGTTGGTCACTCTGGAGAAGCCCCTCCTCTCCCCTGCGAAGTTCAAGGTCGTCCCTGCTTAGGCCTGGGAAGCTGGTGTCTGTTGGGCCTCTCTCTGGCCCCAGCCAGCTGCCTCTTTTACCCTCTCGGGATCACTCAGCCTTCACAGTCCCTGTCACCACACTAAGATGTGGAGCACATTTCTGATGTGGCCTCTCTTCAGGAAAGGCCTGGGTTGGGCGGCCTTTTAAGAAAGCCTCTGTGCCTGGGTTAAGCTTCCAATTGTGGTTGTGTGTGAAGAAACCATAACCAAAGGCTTTGTGTCTGCGTCGTCCTGAGTCCCTGAAAGTGGGATTTCATGTGGGCCAGCAGGCAGAGGTGGCTAAGAAGTGTCTGGAGGGTGGTCCTTTCCGAGGAATAAACTCCTTACCCCACCATCGTTAAGTACTGGGCCTCGCTTTGAATTTGGTCTTTGAGAAGGTTTTGGCAGAAGTACTTGACAGCAAAATGCCCCAAGAAACCTTGGTTCTTCCTAAGTAACCAAGAGGTTGGAAGTGATGCCAGAGGGGCCAGTCAGCAAGATGGTCCAGGGGCTGCTCGCTGTCCTGCAGGCCTGACCGCCTGGAGTCCACACGCAGGTGGGAGGAGCTCCATAAACATTTGTCCTCTAACGTCACAGTTTTTAAAAGTGATGCCCAGATTTCCAGGCCATTTCCTGGAAAGGCTCGGTTGCTTTCAGAGAGGTCCCCAGTGCCATAACCAGAAGGGGCGAGAACTCGCGTCCCCACTAGGGAGGCCCTGGCAGTCGGGTGAGAACAGCCCTCTGCTGCCGATGCCCACCTCACCGTAGCCTGTGGTCCAGGGAACCGCTTGGTTTTTCTCTCCTCTTCCCCGAGGTCTCAGGCAGCCAGGTCAGTCTCTGCCGTCACCTACTCCCTCAGGGACCTCCCGCAGGAGCCGAGGGAGCAGGAGGAGCCCATGGGTGGCCTGCGCCGCCATGTTTTCCCTCCCTAAGAACAGCATAGGGAAACTCTGGGGGTTCACAGTTTGTTGTGCTTTCCCTCACAGAGGCCCCAGGCTCTGGGACACTCAGGCGCCCAGGACCTGTGGCTGGGGACTATTCCATAACTGGTTGTACAGCGCCACCTCCTGGCCACGGTGCCCTGCACGGCGGCTCCTTGTTTGCATAACAGCAGAGCAGTTTCTGGAGTCAGGGAACTTGCAAAGGAAAAATCTGACGCCCATTTGGGTCCTGTATGCCCTTTGCTTTGTATCAGTTCGGTCTTTCTGGGGCTGCATTGGCAAGCTTCTCATTAAAGCGGCTTTGTATTTCCAAAGCCCAGATGGCCAAGGTAGGGCAGAACAGCTGTGGTCTGGGACTGAAGGTTGCAGGGTGTGCATGACCTAGGGTCTTAATCCTGTTTTCCAACCAGCTCCCTGGAGTGGGAGAGGAGAGTGGGTGGGCAGTGAAATATTAAGGAAAGGACTAAACAGATACAGACAACTAGCATGCCTTCTTCCTGAGCTTGGGGGAGGGAATTCTGTTGTTGTTGTTGTGTATGTGTGTGTGTGTGTGTGTGTGTGTGTGTGTGTGTGCGCGCGCGCGCGTGCGCACAGGCAAGCACCATGAGGACAACTTGCAGGTGTTCTTTCTTCCCAACGTGGCGTCGTCACTCAGGTTCTCAGGCTCCCGGGATAAGCACCTTACCCACTGGCATCTCAACCAACTCCTTTGGGGTAACTTCTGAGGTTCTAGGCAACTTGGGCTCAGATCTGTTGCCACTGATCAGGGTCTAAAGAAGCCAGCATGGAGCTGAATCACGGCGCCACCGACTCCCAGGGGACCAGGTTACTCTCTTTCCTAGGACTGGTAGTTTTCCTACAGGCTGGATTAGGAGAACTTAGGGCCTCAGGTTTGTTTGGGTGGCAGTGTGTTGCCTCTGAATCATGGAATACCCAGTCCATCTTGATACCCTTGAGACCCACCATAGTATGAAGATAAACCCTGTGCAGCTCAGGTCTCCCGTTCCCAAACAGTGGGGAGCACTACTGTCTCCTCATTAAAGGGAGGATGCTGGAAAGCACACATTTCATCGTTAGTGTATGTGGCTGTTGAGTGAGCAGTGTGCACTGTGCTCCAGCAGAGCCTGGACTTGAGGGTGTGTGGGCATTGGGCAGCTGCTGGCAGAGACTGGTGCCGCTGTAGCTGATGGCCTTGTCGCTTCTTCTTCTCTAGGCCTAGTCTCCAAGTCCTCTCCTAAGAAGCCACGTGGCCGGAACATCTTCAAGGCCCTTTTCTGCTGTTTTCAGACCCAGCATGTTGTCCAGTCAAGCTCTCCCACTGAGCTCACATACAAGGAGGAGACAAACACCATTGCTAAGGTAACGGGCTGGGATGGGCATTCTGGCCTGGTCTGGAGCCATGAAGATCCCTGGCCCAAAGGCCCTTCCTCTCTTCCCTTGGTAACCTGTCTCCTTTCTGATACTTCTCATCTGTGGGGTGAGCTGTCGAGATGTTGCAGATTCCAGGACCCCTGAAAGATGCCTTGCAGATATAGTAACTGAGGTCCATGGATGTACTAAGTGTACCCTATGTTAACCATGGATGTGGTGAGATTAGAACTAAGTCTCTGGCTCTGAAAACTGTCTTCTGAGTGGGTTTCTTTGTAGAAACCAAGGAATTAAAAAGGCTCATGCTCTTAGTAACCACGATAGCATCCAGCTCTCAGGAGGCAGAGACAGGTGGACCTGAGTTCAAAGCCAGCCTGATCTACATAGCAAGTTTCGGGCCAGTCTGAGCTACATAGTGAGACCCTTTCTCAACACAAAACAGCAACAAACAAACAAACCCTGCCAGCCCTGTGACCACTTGGAAACATGTGACTAATTTTTATCTCACATGACTAGAAGGCTAGCGTTCCAGCCCCAAGAAACAAGATAGGATTCTCCTCTAAATGCCAGTGATGGCACTGTACACATGAGCATCATGCAGAACTCTTTTGTTGAGTGGAGGAAGGGTTGAATAAATACAACCCAACAGTGTTACTAAGCAGTTAATTTTTATGGTGCATTCTTAGTAACAGTAAGATATACTGGGATGGGCCTGGAGAGATGGCTCAGCGGTTAAGAGCACTGGCTGGGGCCGGGCGGTGGTGGCGCACGCCTTTAATCCCAGCACTCGGAAGGCAGAGGCAGGCAGATCTCTGTGAGTTCAAGGCCAGCCTGGTCTCCAAAGCAGGTTCCAGGAAAGGTGCAAAGCTACACAGAGAAACCCTGTCTCGAAAAAAAACAAAACAAAACAAAAAAAAGAGCACTAACTGCTCTTCCAGAGGACCTGGATTCAATTCCCAGCACCCACGTGGCAGCTCACACAGACATACACACAGGCAAAACACCAATGCACATAAAATAAAAATAAATTATTTTTTAAGAAAAGAAGTACTGGGACTGGTGAGATGGCTCGGTTGTTAAGAGCACTGGCTGTTTTTCCAGAGGTCCTGAGTTCAGTTTCTAGCAATCACATGGTGGCTCACAACCATCTGTAAAGAGATCTGGCGCCCTCTTCTGGCACACAGGCAGAACACTGTATACATAATAAATAAATAAATCTAGAAAAAGAAAAAAATACTTATCTGGGGCTGGTGAGGTAGCTTAGTGGTCAAGAGCACTGGCTGTTCTTGCAGAGGTCCTGAGTTCAATTCCCAGCAACTACATGGTGGCTCACAGCCATCTATAATGGGATCTGATGCCCTCTTCCAGCCTGCAGGCATACATGCAGACAGAACACTGTATACCTAAAAAAAAATACATAAATAAAATTAAAGAAATGCTTACCTGCACAGTTAAATCAGAATGTAAAATCACATATTCCCATGGGGAATGCTAGCCTGTACTTGAAACATGGCAGACAATCTTAGGTTTTTCTAAGTTCAGAATTTTACTTTTTTTTTTCTCAAGATTTACATTAGGAACGCTTAGTACACTTTATAACATGTGTAATGCTGTCTCTGTGATCTCTCTCTATCGATCTCCCTTCATATTCTCAGGCAGCCCAGTAGTGCTTTATGCTGGTGCGCTCAGTATTTCAGCACCCCCCCATGACTTGTGCCCCACGGAGACAAGAGGAGACATACATTCTTAGCTAGAAGCTAGGTGTAAGGGACTAAGCGGAGGTCAACCGCACAGAGCAGTTCAGATGGAGTCCCTGCGGTTCTATTTTCACTTTGTGGAGAGGAGGCCTTCCCCTTTCCTGCCCAGCTCCCAGGAAAGGATCTTTGGGCGTGAGGAGCTGCTAGGTGGCTGGGTCTCGGAGAGGCCAGAGCAGTGGCTGGGTTGTAGCAGGTGGAGTTGACAGAGGGCACTAACCACCTTCTTTCTCCCCCAGTCGGATCTGCTGCAGTGTCTCCAGTACCAGTTTTATCAGGTATGTCAATCTGGCTGACCCTACAGGCAGGGTGGTCACCTCCCCACCCTGGGAAGCTGTGTGTGCTGAGTATCCGCCGAGGGCCCCAGAACGCTGTGGGGGAAGCTGCGTGTCCTCTTAGTGTTTCTGCTTTGTATCCCACACCAACCCTGACCGACACCAAACGCTCCCACTGCTTTAACAGTCTCCTAAGGCACACACCGACCCTGCTGCCTCTGTTTTCTGCCTTTAAGCAGGGCCTTCCTGGGGTGGTAATTCTGTCTCCAGACAGCCTGGTTCTTCCTAGCTTTCTGCTCAGGGGAATGATGGGCTTGCCTCTTGGTGGGCACGTCTCAGCAGCCGGCCTCTGGTTTTAGATCCCTGGGACCCGCCTGCTCCCAGAGGTGACAGAGCAAGATCAAGGAAGAATCTGCGTGGTCATCGACCTGGATGAAACCCTTGTGCATAGTTCCTTTAAGGTGAGTCCGCACGCGGCCCTCCTTCCCCAGGACTGTCTGTGAACTGCACAACAGGTGCTGTGAGGTGGTCTGCGGGGAAGGGGGAGCGGAAGTGACGGGGGAGGGAGCCAGGCCTGGAGTCAGATGTCCAGACGCCATACCAAAGAGTGTTAAGAACCTACCCCACACACACATGCACGCACACACGCAGCCGTCTCCCCGTAGCATGGAAAGAGTAGCGGATCGGTTCTGGCATGTCTGTTTTCCTCACCAGTATGTTTCTTAACTCGAGAGCCTTAAGTGGGGTATGGAGGCACTTCCACAGTCCCACTTGGGAAACTGAGGCAGGAATAATCTGAGCTGCAGAGTAAGAGGCTGTCTTGAAAAAAGCTAGGTAGGCATACAGTGGTGCATGCCTGTAAGTCCTTGGCTCATGGGAACATGAATTAGAGGCTAGCCTGGACTGTGTAGCAAGACCCTGTCTCAGATAGACCCCTGAACCTTATCTCTGCTGGAATTCGGCAGGTTGGACAGATGGGGCTACTTCATCCGGTGCTGGCTAGGACCTGCTTAGTGGGCTGGGGGGTGGAGGAGGTGGTCCTTCCTGTCAGCTGCCATCCTGACTCCGTTAACTTCTGCTTTCCAGCCAATCAGCAATGCTGACTTCATAGTACCTGTGGAGATTGAGGGAACCACTCACCAGGTGAGTTGTCTGCCAGACCACCCAGCCTTTGAGACCTGTTCCTTTCCTTTCCTTCAGCCTCTCCTGTTTCCTTAGTGGCTTGACACTCCGGTTCTCATCTGAACGCCCTCTAGCGATTCTACATTCCTCTTTCTCTGTGTAGTCAGGCTGTGAGAATGGTCTTTGAGACAGAGTCTCTTATTTAGTCCTGGCTGTCCTGGAACTTGCTGCATAGCCCAGGCTGGCCTCGACCTCACAGAGATCCACCTGCCACTACCTCCCAAGTGCTGGGATTAAAGGCATTCGCCACTGTTCGCAGCCTGTTTAAATTTTAAATAATAGTCATCATGGCCATCATTTCTTTTCTTAATTTTTTTTTTTTTTTTGTAATATGCATTAGTGTTTTGCCTTCTTATATATCTGTGTGAGGGTGTCAGATCCCCTGGAACTGAAGTGACAGACAGTTGTGACCTGCCATGTAGGTGCCAGGAATTGAACCCAAGTCCTCTGGAAGAGCAGCCAGTGCTCTAACCACCGAGCCATCTCTCCAGCCCGATGGCCGTCATTTCTTAATCCCCATCCCTGCCAGGTGGACAAAAGCCTCGTTTTTAAACAGCACTGTTAGGATTTACTCTTTAAATTCCTTGGTAACGGTGTCTCTGCCTGTAAGAGGCAGGGAACCAAGAGCTGCTCTTCCCTGCCTGGGAGGCTCCTCCATGCACCCACAGCCCAGGCCTCTCCGATGCTGCCTTCCCTAACCTCCTGCCCTCAGTACGCATCTGCCGAAGCCCAAGACCAGGCTCTAGCCGTGCATGCCCAGCTCTGTCTGGGGCGAAGGATCATGCAGCGTTGGTGGGGAGAGACCACATGCTCAGAACCATGGCCCAGACAGCTGACCTGACGATCAGGGACCATTGGTGATGTCATGGCAGGCATGACACCTGTTTTCACAGGCTGGTCACGTAGTTAGTTAGGCACAGGGACAGTACAGCTTGAGGCCTTCGTGCCGTCGTAATCCACCTCCCGTTGCAGGCTACTGGACCACGGCCACAAAGCTGGGTGCTCTGCTAAGCCCATCATCCCTTGCCGTCTAGTCAAGGAAGTAGAAATGTACAGACTTCATGGGACATGCCCTCAAATAGGCAGATCTGTGCAGGGCACTCCTGGTTAATAGAAGCGTGAATTAATGAGTGATGAAATTTAAGGGGAGGAGGGCAGCCTGCCCAGTGTGGGGCTGAGAAAAGAATGGGGAGGAGAGGCCATGTTGGATGAGTAACGGTTTGAGGACAGGGCTTGTTTGTGAAGTGGAGGGATAGCAGGGTGGTTAGAATAATTTGTGGCTGTATGAAGGGTTCCTGCTGCTAGACTGGGAGGGGTCTCCTGGTGAGTTGGTGGCTAATTCGGGCTGGGAGGAAATCAAGACAGCATACTGTACTGGGCTGTGTGTTGACAGAAGGACTTTAAGGACATGCACAGGAGGGCACTAATGGAGGCTGAAGCGGGAAGGGAAGGTTGTAGACGGGGGTGGGGTGGGGTATGTGTGTGAGTAGCTGAGGAGCTTGAAAGAGCCGTGCAAGCGAGGTCCTCAAAGGGGTGCCCTTCCTTCTGTGTGGTGTTCACAGAAGCCCTGGGAGGCATGTGTTCGAGGAAGTATTGGGGTCCTTGCCAGATGGGGATCTGCACAGGCTGTCCTGCTAGAATCCAGACCCGAAGCGGCTATGGAGGCTGTGGCTGGATTCAAGTAATCCAGGATAGGCTGTTTCCATCTGTGAGGCCTATTCTTGATTACTTGTTTCTGGAGGCAGCTAATGGTCCACCCGTGAGTGAAGATGGCTCCTGGGACACAGTGTGCTCTCCTGGCTGGCACTTTAGGATTGGGCCTGGTGAGCCAGCCCAAGTCTGGTTGGAACCATCCTTGGTGGGGCAGAGGTTCCCAGGGTCCTGGCATGAGCAGCCAGGCCTGATTGCGTCTCTGTGTCGGTGGGAAGGTAGATGGTGCTGCCTCCTCTGGCCTCGTGGGGCACCTCCAACCATCCTCTCTGCTTCTCCAGGTATATGTACTCAAGAGGCCTTATGTTGATGAGTTCCTGAGACGGATGGGGGAGCTCTTTGAATGCGTTCTCTTCACTGCCAGCCTGGCCAAGGTACCTGACGGCAGGATGGGGGAGAAAACAGGAGACCATGTGGTACCACAGGGGACCCAGCACCCCATCCACGCTAAGGCCTCTTTTCTTCTTCCAGTATGCCGACCCTGTGACAGACCTCCTGGACCGCTGTGGGGTGTTCCGGGCCCGGCTCTTCCGGGAGTCTTGTGTTTTCCACCAAGGCTGCTACGTCAAGGACCTCAGCCGCCTAGGCAGGGACCTGAGGAAAACCCTTATCCTGGACAACTCGCCCGCATCTTACATCTTCCACCCAGAGAATGCAGTGAGTGGTCCAGACCGGCCCCAAGGCCTCGGGCTGGGACGAGGGGCTTCTCCGAAGTGCACTGGCCAGGAAAGGAAAAGTCAGACTAACATCGCCTTTTCCCGTCCCAGGTGCCTGTGCAGTCCTGGTTTGATGACATGGCAGATACAGAGTTGCTGAACCTAATTCCCATCTTCGAGGAGCTGAGTGGAGCAGATGACGTCTACACCAGCCTCGGGCAGCTGCGGGCCCCCTAGCCTTCTTGCTTCCAAGAAACGGCCATCCCAGTAGGGGACTTTGCTACACTGTGCCTTTCTGATCAGCCTGACTGACCTAGCCGAGAAGCTGGAGCACTTGCCCAAAGGGTCTGGAAGTAGCTGGAAAGCGGTTGACGAGCTTTAGGACAGGTTAGGTGCAGAGCAGGCAAATCAGACCTATCCAGAGCTGTCTGCACCCTGTGTTTGGTTCCCAGGAGAGAGAGTGAGTGTGTGTGTGTGTGTGTGTGTATGCACGAGTGCGTGGGCCTGTGCCCATCCAGTGAACTATGGCCCAGGGTGCCCAGTGTTCCGTAGGGGAGAAGCTGGTCGGTCGTCTCCTTTACTGCTGACCATGAGCTGTTGGGCTTTACAGTGATGGAGACTCTTGCAGGCACTCTTGCCAAACCATGGCCTTCCTCAACTTCACAAGGCCCGTGCCAAGGAGAAAGGAGAAGCCAGAGGCTGTCTTGGATGCCCAAGGCACACACCTTTCTGAAAACATAAAATACTAGCCAGCAGCTGCAGACATACCCAGGAAGATGAGAGCGTGTTTGCAGAACCAGTACTCAGAATCACCAGGTCCTGTGGCCTCCAGGCTGCATCTGGCTCTCGAGTACCTGCATGGGCCTGCTGTCTCCCAGGCGCCAGCACCAAGGCAGCCTTCTCAGTCCCTAGCCATAGTCTGCCTCCCACGGGGAAGGAGGTCTTCTCCCTGCCCTGGAAGAGGACAGAGAGCTGATTGCTGTTCTTCTAACTCTTTAAAATTCTCTTTCTAAACATGGAGTGGTGGGCCTGGTTTGTATCCGGCCGAGCTGCAGTCCTGGGCCTCAGATGCATGTGGGAGGTGCTAGGGTATGGGGAAACACAAATGTCCAGAGCAGAGTGTGTGGCTCCTTGCTGGTAGATCCTGAAAGTCTGCTCTTCAGGGATGCTGTGCTGGTGCTGATGCAGACATTAGCTCCAGAGGATGGGGAGGGTTGCTAGGCTGCCCCCCGCCCTCCCGGTCCCTGGGCAGAGCTCTTTTGTATCGTATTGTGTCTTCCCTGGTATCCTGTCCTGGTTGTCGTGCTCATCTAGCCTTCACCCTTCCTGGATGTTTCTCTTCCTCCCCAGGGCTTTGGGAGAACTGCTTTCCTAGGACTGAGGGAAAAAGCAGGTCTTGCTGTCACTGGTTTGCCAAATGGGCAAATAGCTCCTGCCTCTGGTGGCTGTAGGACTGAGTGAGGTCCTCACAGACCTGCACTCTGGGGGTCTCTAAATTTTCAATCTTAAGTGCTGTAAAGTGAGACCAGAAAGGAAGTTCCCCAGAGTGCAGACAAAAGGGAAGTGCTGCAGTCGTTAGGAGCACAAGGCCCCTGAGGCGCCCACCTCAGCATTACTGCCTTAATTGAGTCCTGCCCCCAGGGCGGGGTCCGATTCTCCTCCCTCTCAGAGCTGGTTGGAGTTCTGAGCCCCATCTCTGCTTTCCCTGGAGGCAGGTGCCAGCATTTGTGAATTGTTTCAGGTGTGGTCACCGCCCACTCAGGAGTCATACAATAGTTTTTAGTTTCCACACACTAGGTCCTGCCTCAGGAGCTAACAGGTTTCAAGAAGCCTGGTGGTGGAGCTCGGTTGAGTGGGAGCTTCCTGTCTGGCATCCATCCAGCCTTGTGCAGTCTCCTTAGTCCCGGCTGTGGATCTTTAGCTTGGTGACACACAGAACAGGCTCCCCAGCTCAGGCCATTTCCCCAGCATTCTTTGCTGGCGCCTGTGGGGTTCTGCCAAGGTGATGGGATAGGGCTCCAGGTGCTAACCAGGAACACTGGAGCTTGGTTGTGGCTTCAAATGCAGGTCCTGGTCTCACTGCCCACCCTAATATTGCAGGAGGGGGGTCCTCGCAAGGCCTGCTCTGAGGACTAGTCCTGACTAAGCAATAAGAGCCTCGGAGTTGACTGTCAGGGTCCTTTTCTGCGTCTCCCACGTTTTACCTTGTAGAGGAAGAGCCTGTGCTCAGCCCTTGCTGGAGTCTGATCCATGACCAGAACCCAGTGTGGCTTCATGGAAGAGCCCTGCTGCTTCTACAGAAGCCGCAGCTTTCTGGGCCTGTCTGTCCCCAGAATCTCACCTGCCACCTGTACTTGCTACAGAGATGCCACCCCGCTCTTTCCAAACCTAAACAGGACCTGTCCTGCTTGCTAGTTCCATGTCTTAGGGGCAAGTGACGGTTGGGGGTGTCTCTCAGAGAGCTCAAGCAGGCATAGAGAAGGGCAAGGCTGGAGGGAGCCCGCTCATCCTGGAGTCTGTCACCGGGCTTGCCACCAGCCTTCCCACAGACGGGTCTTCAGGAATCAGTAGACCACCATGCCTCGTGCCAGCACCTGCTCAAGCCATGCCAGGAATCTGCCCACCTGCCAGGTTCAACTCCTTACGGTGCCTCTTCAGGGACACAGTGTGTCTCTCTGATTGGGCTTCTAAATCAAAAGCCTGATGTTCGTGTCCCTCTTATAGGGGGGAGCCTTGGACACAGGACCAGTTTGATAAAGGGCCAGGTAAGGGTTTCCACTCTGCACATTGTAGAGGGGACACTGTAGGCCCGGGGGTCCCCGAGTTAAAGAGTTGAGTGAAGTTGCCTTCATTTAACCGGGGACCTGTTTCACTCCCTCTTGCCTCCCAAAGATTTCTGTGTAAATGTGTAAACAGTGGCTCAGAAAAAGCTTTGTACTAAAAGCCTGGGGCTCTCCAGGCAGCAGTGCCTGGGAAATGGATCCCCTGCGATCCCACGCCCTGCCCTGTTCTGTTCCAGAGGCCTCTTAGCGGTGCAGCCTGATCATGGCTGTTGTGCATCCAGTATGTCAGCCTGGCTAAGTGTGTGAGAACGATTACCCTGTTTGTCCTTTGGGCTGCTTAACCACGGCTACTTTTCAGTTCTTGTTTTGTTTTTTGTTTTTTTTAAATACCTTAGTTTTGTCTTTTTTTCAGACAGGGTTTCATGAATGGCAGGTGTTTGAACTCACTGTTTAGCCAAGGATGATCTTGAACTTCTGATCTCCTGCCTCCACCTCCCGAGTGCTGGGATCACAGGTGTGACCACCATGCTGGCTCATGGGGGGCTGGTGACAACCCAGGGCTGCATGCATGCTAGGCCAGCACTGCCGACTGAGCTCCATCCCCAGCTCCCCTTTTCTCGTTTTAGCAAACACCGTTAGTAAATACCCAGGGAGAAGAGGTAACAAGTCTGGCTACCTGTCCTGCCACGCTCCTCTAGTGCAGGGTCAGCTCCTGGGACGGCCCCTCTCAGGCTGGTGATGTTCTTTGCCTGTAATTACCCCAGGTTTGCCTATTTACCCTTCTAAGATGCCATTTGGAGGGGGAGGGGTCCACATCCCACTGTGACTGGGCTATGGGATCCTTGACCACCTTGCTTCATGATTTGATACATTTGTTGTATTCAAAAAACTTGAAATGTAGGATGCCATTAAGAGTCTGTTTATATTTTTGGAATATTTGTATTACTTACAGTTAGTTAATAAAGGCTGGTTTTAAGACCTGTGCAGGAGTGGAGCTGTCTTTCTTCCTTGTCACTGCCCCTGCTGTTACCCCACGGCCACTGTCCTTCCCACATGACCCACAGAACACAATGGGTTTCTGATCAAGGTTACAGAGGTTGGACTACATTAGCTCTTCTCCAGCCCGATTTGGGGCTGACTCCGTCGTCCCTGAGTGCTTAGCAAGCATATGCTTGGTGTCCTGTTGACTGCTGGGCATAAACTAAAGCCCTAGGGGAATTGGAGACTTGGTGCTTCTGGGTTCACTCTTGATGCTGCCAAACCAGGAGCCCTGAGATTCAGAGCCCGCCATGGTTTGCTGGCACACAGTAGGATGACGAGCAAAGACTCCAAGAAACAAAACCTTTCTGACACTGCAGAACCCCTGAAAAACACCCAGAACCCCCTCGGGCGGGCCCCCCACCCTGGATGTCCAGGCACACAGTGTGACACTGCAGAACCCCTGAAAAACACCCAGAACCATCTCAGGGAGTCCTCCACCCTGGATGTCCAGGCACACGGTGTGTGACACTGAAGAATCTCTGAAAAACACCCAGAGCCCCCTCTGGCCCCCCACCCTGGATGTCCAGGCACACGGTGTGTGACACTGAAGAATCTCTGAAAAACACCCAGAGCCCTCTCTGGCCCCCCACCCTGGATGTCCAGGCACTGCGGCCAGCTCCAGCCAGTCTTCTGTATCAGCATAATGCATTCATATCTACAATATGGCAGATTTCATATCCTCCTCCTCTCGCTGAATTATTGATGGGCTGTGCACTTTTTAAAAAAAATCAATAGACCAGGGCGTGGAGCTTTAAGCTCGGCTCTTGTTGTTTCTGCTGTTTTGAATAGGAGCACATAGAACTTTCCCCTCTGGTTTGAATAAGTCAAGCCCAGGGCTAGGTTGGCTATGATTGGCCGGAGCTAGGAAAATGTGGTTATGATGCAAACACAAGCAAATATAACCCGGTGTCTGTGCAGCCATTGCTGAACGGAGGCTGCAGGACCCGAAGCCGCCTGCTTTGGGATAGCTCATCAGTACTTCACCTGCTGCTTTACCGGAAGACGGGACAGAAAGGGCAAGGTAGGGTCCGTTGTATGGATACTTTTAGTCCAGCGCTGAGTAGATGGGGCAGAAAGTGAAGGAGTCGTCGGACCTTGCTTTGTTTCTATCTTCTGGGATGAAGCTTTTGAAAGACTGAGCCAGGAGTTCGTGGCCAGCTTTGCAAACTTCTTATTGGGAGAAGAACCTGTAGAGCCCGCTGAGTAAGTTGAGCACGTTCTCAAGGCAGAGGAAGATGGGGTGGGGGCGAGGGGGAGAAAAGATACCCCCTCCCCCAGCTTGTTTCCTTCATGAGGCATGAGAGAAGTTTAAACACTAGCTTTTAACCTGGAATTCCCAAACCACGCCCTGTGCCCATGATCATCACAACCCTCTAAGGACCCTGAAGTGCTGATGATTAGGACTTGGGAAGACAGATCAAGGTTTGGGGGGCTTTGATATGGTGGGGTGGATTTGATTGGGCTTTCTGGGTGTGGCAGTTCCTGAATCTTGGGTCCCCAGTCAGCTCCTGGATTCTGAAGTTCGTGGCAGGAAATGGGACTGTACTGGGGGCTCTGAGACTCACCATGTTAATGCCAGTTGGTTAGGTGTTACCAGGTTAACCGGGAGTAGGTTGGCTCTGGTTCTTTTTCCTGAGTGGGTCCTGCATTAGACTTTAAAAGTCAAAACCTAGGGTCTGAAGAAAACCCGAGTATTTCCTGATGACTCTGAGCAGCACAGGGTGGGGCAGCGCAACTTATCAAATTAAATCCTCCAACCACTGGTCAGTTCCGCATCATGGCTGTGCTTGGGTCTACTGCCAGCTGCACACAAAGGGACCTGGTCTTTGGTGGTAATCGCACATCCTCTCCAAACCTGGTTTTTACCCATCAAGGCTCAAGAAAAGAATGGTCGAGACTTTTTTTCTTTTTTTAAGGTTTGGGGCTGTACTAGGGATAACAAATGGTCTACCATTTGAACCACACCCCGCCCCCAGACATGCTCGACTTAACCAGCCCAGTCGATCACCAAACAGCAAACATCCACACAATCCCCCAGGCGATTTTTCTTTTTCATCTTTCATAAACCCATCCATCCCATCTCTACTTTGAGTTTTAGGAGGAAAGCAGCCTCGCAGTCCTTTGGCATGCTATCAGAGCACAGTCTCCCCGAGAGTGGGACTGGAGAGGAGGCACATACACACTACCTACCGTAGGGCAACCCTGTGTGTTAGTAACCAAGCCACGTTCTGACTGTGGAAACGGTTCCCGTGGTCTTCATACCACTTGTTCCCCGCCCAGCCTTATTCAGCCCTGTGGGTGCTGAGCACAGTTCTGGAGAAGCTGGGCCCTGTGTGGTACGGGCGAAGGAGGCCACACCCACCTCCCGTTGGCACCCTGAGCCCTTTCTTTGTCCCAGGCTCTGCCCGGTCTACCTTCCCTTGTCCTCTGCAAGAGCAGCTAATGTTTTTGTCACGATAAAGGGATGTTAACTGTTCTAGGACAGTTTACAAAATTAAAAATAAAAGCTGAGAGCAGGTCCGGGGTGACAAGATCTTGCCAGGAAACCTGGGAAGAGGAGTTCAGAGATTAGAAGGGCATGGCTTCATTTGGAAATACTTTTTCTCACTGGATTTCCTCTCTCGGAGCCACTGAGCTTAGTTTGGGGGGAGGGTAGCAGGCATGAAAAGGTGGCTAAGACACAGGCTTTTAAGGTCAGATAGGAAAATAAAAGGTATGGAGCTGGTCTAGTGGTAGAAGCGCATAATCCCAGCAGTCAGGGGGGTGAAGCTGAAGGAGCCTGTGACCAGCCTGGGCTATGTAGATAGACCCTATTTTAATAAAATAAAACAACAAAAAAGCTCAGAAACGATTCTCATTCTAGTGTGTGCCCATAGACAAAGTATTTCATACCTCCTCAAACCTCATTGTCCTCCAAGGCGACAGGGCCCCCCCCGCCTGGGAATGAGACAGTGTGTGCAAAGTGAATCAACACAGGCTGACATCGCCTTCAGGAATCTGTGTTGCCCTGCTTCCAGCAGAGAGATGGCACACTGCCCTTCCCGAGAACCTGGCTCTGATTCCCAGCACCTGCTTCAGGTGGCTCACAATCCCCTGTCCCTCCAGCTTCGAGGAATCTGACACCCTCCGCCCTCCAAGGGGCACCCACAGTCCTACACACATACCCACCAAAACACATAATTTAAAAAAAAAAAAAAAAAGGAACATACCGGCCAGAGCTCTCAACTAGTGGAAACAAACCTTTGGGGTAGGGATGGCCCAGCCAGGTCACTGTGTGGACCTTGAACTGCTGGTGAGATGGTGTGGTGGTGGGGGGATAGACCAAAAGGGCACACCGTGCAATGGCTGATGAAACAGGAAGAGTCTTAGGAGAAGCGGTGGGTCCCTGTCCGCTGTGAGGGGCGTCCACCTCCCACTCTGTGATATTTCAGTTCCAGGAGGACAAACTATGTCTCTGAGCGGTGCCTTCAGGGCTGTGGGCAATGACCCTGGGATCATCACCTGGAGAATTGAGGTGAGTCCCTCCCACCCTGACTGCTGGGATCTGAGCCTGTGGCCACTGAGGGTCAGCAGCAAGGGCTGGTTTTCCCAGTCTTGTGCTCAGTGCAGGTCCCCACACAGAAACCAAGCTTGCCCTTCATCCAGCCCATCTGCTTGGTGAGTCTACACTTCCAGTAAACATCTCGGAAAGACGGGTCCGAGAAACGGAACATAATCATCACATAATCATCGTCAGAACACTGGTCCCTCCCTCCCAGCTCCTGGGGTGGGGGCATGCTGCACAAATGGCCATTGCCCATCCCTTTACCCCGTGGGCTTGGTCTCCTCTGGGTGGCTCTGAGCTCTGGTCTGGGTGCACCTACCAGATATCAGGACACACCCACCTCTACCCAGTCAGTGGCAGCAGCTTGACCACCACAAGTAACACTTCCCTTCGCTCTGCTCAACTCCAGAGTGTGAGTCACCGCTTTCTGGCAAGCCTCTAGAGGCTTGTGGGAAGCCCTGCCTACCTCCAGTGTTTCAGGCTCCCTATTTACTTAAAATGAATAAGGGCTGGCCAGGTGGCTCAGTGGACATAGGTATGTGCAGCCAAGCCTGGACCTGAGTATAAGCCCTGGGACCCACATGGAGAAAGAGAACCGACTCCCTCAGGTTTCTCTGACCCTCACATGTACGTGTGGCTCTTGGAACACCCGATAAATAAATGTGAGGAGAGAGAGAGAGAGAGAGAGAGAGAGAGAGAGAGAGAGAGAGAGAGAGAGAGAGAGGCACTAAACTGGACTCATAAAAAGTTATATATCTAATCTTTTTCATACTTAACGTCCAGATTTTATATGAAGCATACACAAGTATGGCTTGCCTTCCTTGGGAAGAGACAGTGCCATTTTCGTGTGAGGCTGTGCAAGTGGCCCTCGAGGATGAGCAAATCAGGACCCCAACACACAGCCTCAGTGGCCCATGCATGCCCCAGCACTCTGAGCTGTCAGCCTCCCTCCTGCCCAGCTCCCCAGACTCCCCTGGTGGCTCTAAGCGGTCAGTCAGGAGCAGAGGGCTGGACGCCCCTGTCAGGACTGCCCAGAGGAGGACTCTTCCTGGACAGTTGCCCCCAACTCTTTCCCCTTCCATCGGCTCCTGGGGGCTCACGGGTCCTTTCCGGAGGAACTGGGGACAAGACCAAGAGGGATGTGGGAGGACACAGGATGTCACCACAACAGATCCAGACCCAGATTAGGGGAGAGCTCCCAGAGGCAGAGCAGCGGACCTGTGCTGTGCTGGCGACCTACAGAGATGGCTCCTCCTCCACCTGGGCCCTGCCCAGTGTCAGGAGAGGGAGGCTGTGGGGAAGGCAGGAGGCAGTACAGCCGCATACTCTTCTAATCCTTCTAGAAAATGGAGCTGGTGCTGGTGCCTCTGAGTGCTCACGGCAACTTCTATGAGGGGGACTGCTACATCATCCTCTCGGTGAGCAATGTCTTCCTCGTCCACCACTCCTTCCTCAGCAGGCAGTGCCCAGGCTGTTGGAGGCTCTGACCATGAGAGAAGTGGGGTTCCCGGTATCTGTCTAGATTCTTCCTCCTGCCATGCAAAGCCTCAAGCTGACTGAGAATGGCCACCACCAGGCATGGGGTTGTGATTGTGCATCAGAGGGTAGGCATAAGCGCGCGCACACGCACACACACACACACACAGCGACTCCCCTTCCGGGGTCCAAGCAGCACACTACAGTGTTCTGAGGAAGGCTAGATAAATACGCAGTCTGCCTTTGGCCACAAAGTACTCACTGTAAACTAGGTAAGATAGTGTCTATTGCCGGGCGGTGGTGGGGCACGTCTTTAATCCCAGCACTCGGGAGGCAGAGCCAGGCAGATCTCTGTGAGTTTGAGGCCAGCCTGGTCTACAGAGTGAGTCCCAGGACAGCCAGGGCTACACAGAGAAACCCTGTCTGGCGGGGGGGGGGGGGGGGGGGGGGGGGGGGGGGGGAGATAGTGTTTATTGCTGTGATAAATACCCTGACCAAAAACAGCTTGGGAAGGGAAGAGTTTTATTTTATCATACAGCTTGTAGTCCACCACTGAGGGGAGCCAAGGCAGGAGCTCATGGCAGGAACCTAGAGGCAGGAACTGAAGCAGAGACACAGAGGAATGCAACTTACTGGCTTGCTTTCTTGTGCCTTTAACTTTTACATATCCCAGGACCACCTGCCCAGGGTTGGCACCACCCACAATGGGTTGGGCCCTCCCCCATCAATCATCAATCAAGAAAATGCCCTACAGACTGGCCTACAGGCAGTCTGATGGAGGCTTTTTCTCAATCAATGTTCTTCCCAGATAACTCCAGCTTGTGCCAAGTTGTCAAAGAATTAGACAGGATAGATGGTATGTGCCTATAATCATAGCACTTGGGAAGCTAAGGCAAGAGGACCACAATTGCAAGGTCAGCCTGGGCTACAGAGTGAGCTCTTGACTAGTCTGGGCTATGTGCAAACATCTGTCTCCAAAAACCAAAACAGTGGAGCATGATGGCCCAGTCCTATAATCCTAACACCTGGGGGGTGAAACCAGAAGATTGTGAGTTTAGGGCCAGCCTTGGAAAGTTTGGGCTAGCTTGGGCTACACGATAACCTGTTTTGTTTTGTTTTTTAAAATCTTTTTAAAAAGTGCTCATTCTAGTGGAGGAAATACTACCACACATGGACAGTGTGGGCAGCTGTAGTTTGGGTGCAGGGGACCTATAGACAACGGAAAAGAGTCCCCACTTTAGGAACAGGCTGTCGACGTCCCCAAATGTGGGCGAGCAGGCCTGTAAATGGGTGGGGCTGGTTCTAGCACCCGCTTACAGATCGAGAAGGGCTGCTTGTGTGAAGGCAGGCGTGCTGGGGTCTTCCCACACCGGGAAACAGGTGATCGTGGGCCTCCCTCACCTCCCTGGCTACCTCCTTAGACCCGGAAGGTGGGCAGCCTCCTCTCCCAGGACATTCACTTTTGGATCGGGAAGGACTCCTCCCAGGACGAGCAGAGCTGTGCAGCCATCTACACCACGCAGCTGGATGACTACCTGGGAGGCGGCCCCGTGCAGCACCGAGAGGTCCAGTACCACGAGTCCGACACCTTCCGCGGCTACTTCAAGCAGGGCATCATGTGAGTGGCCGCGCATGGGCGGAGCCCGGCACGGCTGTTTCCGAGGGAGGAAGCTCAAGGGTCAGGGGGGCCTTTGAAGAAGTAACCCGAGAGATGCAAAGCAGTCACGTGTGCCCAGCAGAGTCGGGTGGGGCCGAGTGCTGCGTGGACCTCACACCTGCTGCAGGGAGTGAGGAACCGCATGGCAGCGTTCAGGAGCGTAACCTGGGCTGTTGAAATGAACTCCCCGTTTCTCAGAGCTCTAAATCCCTCACACACCCAGGGCCCCGAGAGGGCCCATGATCCAGAGTGTTCCTGACAGTGTGTTAGTGTGTGTGTGTGTGTGTGTGTGTGTGTGTGTGTGTGTGTGTGTGTGTGTGTGTGTGTGTGTAGGCTGTGGTCAGTGCAGGCGTCCACCACGGGGAGAGAATGTGTATGCACATTCGGTGCAGATTGAGTACGCACTGAGCACGCACGAACAAAGACACAGGCTGAGATGGACCACAGAATACCAACTTTTTCTTTGTAAAAATCGCGCACACAGGCAGCGGGACACGTTTTACTAGAATGAAGAAGAGACATTAAACTGCCAGAGCAGGAGTCGCGGCAGGGAGAGGTCCAGGAGGTTTGCACGTGGGTGTGGGCGTGCACAGACTTAACATGAGGGGCGTGGCACACGTCTGTAACCCAAACTTGTGAGGGTTCCTGGCCCGTAGCACTGCTCTTGCGGTTCCTGGGACTCCTCGTTATTAATATCTCAGCGCAAATGTCCCTTCAGAAAAGACAGACCCCTGCGGCAGCAGGGGCATAGCTGCATTGACTTTGAACATGTTATCATAACCCACGTGCGTAGAGACTGACATCTGCATGTTATCACTCTATTTAATTCACAATAGTCTCCCCAACAAGTAACCGGGTTAATATTCCCTCAGTTATAAAAAGGGGGGAGTGGCCTCTGGGATGAAGCATGTGGAGACCAACGCCTATGACGTGAAGCGGCTGCTACACGTAAAGGGGAAAAGAAACATCAGGGCCACTGAGGTGAGTCCCACCCAGTGACTGTCTCGGGTCCGGTGCCCCTGCCCCGGCGCCTAAGACCACCCCTCTAAACGGCGCTGACCTCTCCCGTACAGGTGGAAATGAGCTGGGACAGTTTTAACCGAGGCGACGTCTTCCTGCTGGACCTGGGGCTGGTCATCATCCAGTGGAACGGCCCGGAGAGCAACAGCGGAGAGCGACTCAAGGTCTCGCTCTCTCTCACCGGCTCCGGGCCTTGAGCGGGGCTCTTTGGGCGCCTTCGCCCTCTGCCTCCGAGTGGCAGACCCTGTCTTGCAGACAGGCCAAGGGCGTGCCTCACCCTGGGGCTCCTCAGCAGCGGGGTGGCTTGTCTGCCATCCTGGTGGCTCCCACGGAAGGAAGCCATCTGGAAGGAAAGGGTACCCGGTGAGCTGAGCGCTTCCTTGGGCTTCTTTGGCAGGCTATGCTTCTGGCAAAGGACATTCGGGACAGGGAGCGGGGAGGCCGCGCTGAGATCGGAGTGATTGAGGGAGACAAGGAGGCAGCCAGCCCAGAGCTGATGACAGTCCTTCAGGACGCCCTTGGCCGACGCTCCACCATCAAGCCTGCAGTTCCTGATGAGATCATGGATCAGCAGCAGAAATCAAATATCATGTTGTATCAGTGAGTACTCAAACCTGGCTGTGGGCTGGAGGCTGCGGGTGGGGAGACATCCCCTGGAAGAGGCAGGCTCTCAGCTTGGGTGGAGGCGTCTACCTTTGCTCTTGGGCCATCCTTCTGAAGTGCGTCTCCTACAAGCAGCTCAGAAACGGCCCCTCTCGAGGAGGCCGCTGTCCTCAGTTCTTGTTAGCCTCCTGACCTCTGGGTGAGACTTCCTGTATTGTAGTGCATCCATCTCTAGGGATGTGGATGGGAGAGAGTTTGGGAGAGACTCACAATCACCTCCAGAGAACAAAGTATGTCTTCCTCTCTGTATTCAAGCTGTGTCTGCCTCAAAGAGTCAGACTCTGTGCAGAAATGCCGACTACGGCATTACCTTAGCTGTAGGATGCTCTACAGAGGGAAGGCACAGGCTAACCTCCTTCTTCACCAGGGTCTCGGATGCAGCTGGGCAGCTGGCGATCACAGAGGTGGCCACAAGGCCCCTGGTCCAGGACCTACTGAGCCATGACGTAAGTAGAACTGGAGGGGGCTTTGCTTGAGGAAGCCAGAAGTAACCTCAAAGGCAGACCCTGGGCAAAGCCCTCCCTCTGCCTCTCGGATCAGTAACCATGCTTTTCCCCGGCTGATTCAGGACTGCTACATCCTGGACCAAAGTGGAGCCAAGATCTACGTGTGGAAAGGCAAAGGAGCCACAAAGGTGGAGAAACAGGCAGCCATGTCCAAAGCCCTGGTAGGATCTGTCAACGTGCGATACCATCCAAGTATTCTGCCGGTGTCACCATGGACATGCACCATGGACATGTGCACAGAGCAGGGACACATACGAACTTCCAAGTACACAGACCAACTGGGGTACAAATGCAGGATTTACCTTTTCCAGTCGAGTGTTCTGGGCTTCAGTTCCCCATATCTAAAGGGGTAATCCCTGTCTCCCAGAACCACTGGAAGATAAAACCCATTCGTGCCAGGCAGTGGTGGCACATGCCTTTAATCCCAGCAGAGGCAGAGGCAGGTGGATCTCTGTGAGTTCGAGGCCAGCCTGGTCTACAGAGTGAGTTCCAGGACAGGCACCAAAACTACACAGAGAAACCCTGTCTCGAAAAACAAAACAAAATAAAAAATTGTAAATTACTCAGAACCTTACTTGGAACACAGAATCTACTTTTGGAAGGTGCTGTTCTCATTGAAAGGGATGTCACATGTTCAGATTAGGGGACCAGTCTTCAAGGGGCATTTACTAAATTCTGCAGACGTACCACATGACCCAGGTGCAATAAATGAACCAATAACTATGATACAAAATCAGGAGACTTGCCGGGCGGTGGTGGCGCACGCCTTTAATCCCAGCACTCGGGAGGCAGAGCCAGGCGGATCTCTGTGAGTTCGAGGCCAGCCTGGGCTACCAAGTGAGTTCCAGGAAAGGCGCAAAGCTACACAGAGAAACCCTGTCTTGAAAAACCAAAAAAAAAAAAAAAAAAAAATCAGGAGACTTACATGGTAGGTCTGCAAAGTCAATCCATAATGCTCAGAATCGTGGTAGTCTAAAGAAGAGACACCGACGTGTTCCCAGCTTTTGGCGGCAGGTTACTCGGAACCTTAGACAGAAGTGAGGTAGACACTGGCTATGATTCCCAGGGGCAGGGAGGAAGGAATTACGAGATGAGCAAAACACCCAGTATATGCCCTGGCTGACGGTCTTTTATCTGGGGGTGGGGTCATAGGACTTCATCAAGATGAAGGGTTACCCCAGCAGCACCAACGTGGAGACCGTCAACGATGGTGCCGAGTCAGCCATGTTCAAACAGCTGTTCCAGAAATGGTCAGTGAAGGACCAGACCACAGGCCTGGGGAAAATATTCAACATTGGTAAAATTGGTGAGATCTCCCTCGTGTGTGTTCTTCCACCCGGGACCCTAGACCGAGGCACGCGTGTGTCGTGCTCACTCGGCTTTTCCCACTCCTTTCTCTGCAGCTAAAGTTTTCCAGGACAAGTTTGATGTGACTCTCCTACACACCAAGCCCGAAGTGGCTGCCCAGGAGAGGATGGTGGATGATGGCAGTGGGAAAGTGGAGGTGAGTCTGGTGAGGGCAGCACCAGCCCCTGGGGTGTTCCTGCTGCAGGAGGGCAGCCTGTTCTGCGTGCTTCTCTCTCCCCACTCCACATTTCCGTGTTCTCTAAGAGGCGTGGAGGTGGCTGTTTCCCCATAACGCTTCAGGAAAGTGAGAGACACATTCCCCCAATGGGCTATCACCTGGAAGATATATTTAAGCCATCACTTAAGTCTACAAAGACCTAGGTTGTATGAAGGGAGGTACTGAATCAGTGTGACCTGTGACCCCATTCTAGGATTCAAATCATGTGATACGATGAGCCTTCAAGGCAGAGAGGACCCAGAGAGGGAGGGGGTATTTGGGATGGCTGTTAGCACTTCATCCCAACTTGGGTTCTGTCAAACACTGCCCAGTTGCGTTGAGGTGGAATTCTCTGAACAGGATGCCCCCTCTCTGGGTGACTTGTCTCCTCTTGTGCCCAGGTCTGGAGAATTGAGAACCTGGAGCTGGTTCCCGTGGAACAGGAGTGGTATGGCTTCTTCTACGGGGGAGACTGCTATCTGGTTTTCTACACGTATGAGGTGAACGGGAAGCCCCATTACATCCTGTACATCTGGCAGGTAGGCCGGGCAGCTCTCGGTGTTGGATCCAGATGCCCCCTGGGCACTGGGCCCAGGTCCACCACTCCCCTCTCACCACTGCAGGGCCGCCATGCCTCCCAGGATGAGCTGGCAGCCTCGGCTTACCAGGCGGTGGAGGTGGACCGGCAGTTTGACGGGGCCCCAGTGCAGGTTCGGGTGAGCATGGGGAAGGAGCCACGCCACTTCATGGCCATCTTCAGAGGAAAGCTGGTTATCTATGAGGTGAGGGCCTATGGACAAAACCATGCCTGTTCAGGGATGCTCAGGGCTGATGGGCCAGTGAAGAGCTACCCGACAGGCCAGGGCTGGTGTGTGTGTGTGTGTGTGTGTGTGTGTGTGGCGGGCGGGGATGAGATGGGGGCAGGGGACAACACAGGCTTAGCTTAGGCATTAGGACAAAAGAGGAGTTTAGCACGAGACATCCAGGGGACTCTCAAATGCCTACGGTTCTGAGCCCCGGCCCGTCTAGCCGGTGCTCCCGTCTTTCACAGTCCGAGCCACGCCGCCTGTACAGGTGTCCTAGCCTCAGTTACCCACCCTGCACCCTCCCAACACCACGCTGCCCCTCCTTACCCCCGGACGTGCCCCTCTTCAAGTCCAAGGCCCACTTTTTCCGTGGAGCCCGGGCGGAAGCATGGGCCGGCAACGCAGTCACCTGTTGGGTTCCACACGAGCCTGGCATCGGGTCCTTCCCTTGCCATGGATAAGTCAAGTTTCCCCAATCTCAGCGAACACGATGGAGAAGCATCTGCTTCACAGAGTTATTCTGAGATCAGCGAGTGGCGTAGGGTGACATTCTCACTTAGATCCTTTCCTGTCAGCCCAGGAGACCCTGAGGGGTAAAGATGGTATCCAGAACGTCTCCGTCCACAACAGCCAGTTCATGTGGTGCTCTGCAGATCTGGCCTCCACTTTTCTCTCCCTAGGGCGGGACTTCCAGGAAGGGAAATGCAGAGCCTGACCCTCCAGTAAGACTCTTCCAGATCCAAGGAAACGACAAATCCAATACCAAAGCAGTGGAAGTCTCGGCCTTCACCTCCTCGCTCAACTCCAACGACGTCTTTCTGCTGCGAACTCAGACAGAACACTACCTGTGGTATGGCAAGGTAACATGGCTGGTGGGTCCTGGCCCCCTGGAGCTTGCTCGTGCTTGCCCTGGCTCCACCCTGGGCCTGTCAGCGAGGTGAAAGGTACTAAAGAGTGGGCTGGTGCGGTCCTCAAGCGGTGGACCCTGTCCCGGGTCTTCAGAGGAAGCATCTACGTTCCCCATTAGTCAGACCTCCATTAGAACTCGGTGCCACCAGCCCCCCGAGACATGGCACGCACTCACGTGCACAGACGCTGGGTCAGTGTCCCCTGTGGTAGGTCAGGTGCCGACAAGGACAAAGCACATGGGATGTCATCGCTCCAAGTGCTTTAAAAGAGAATTCAAGGTCAAGTGTGGTGACGTGTGGCTGTGATCCCAGCCCTTGGGAGGCTGAGGCAGGAGGATCATGAGTCTGAAGCCAGACTGCCTGGGCCTAGTCAGACCCTATCTCAAAACACCAAAAGGCGGGGTGAGGGAAGTACCAGCGAGGTGGCTCCAGGGGTAGAGACACTTGTCAACAACGTGAGTTTGATCCCTGCGTCCCACGGTGGGAGGAGGGATCTAACTCCCAAGAGAGCCTCTCCGATGCCTCCATCCTAACAACACATCCCACAAGGAATTAGTCAATTAGTTAAATTTTAAAATCGGAGGGAATGACTGTGGTGACACAAACCTGCAATTCCAGCTACTTGGGAGGGTGATGTGGGAACATCTCAAGTTCAAGGACAGCCTGGCACAGTAAGACCTACGTCACCAAAAAACAAAACAAACCAAAAACAAAACCAATGGGTGGGGGAGGTGACTAAGAAAAGCGCCTGCTATCATTATTAGGACATCATCAGCGGACGCCACAGTGAGGCGTACACGCGTGCACTGGCTGACCACACACACACACACACACACACGCACACGCACCATATAAAAATGAGACGCAGGAACTTCCTCCACCGTTTGGAGGGCTGCAAAATGGGACGCATTTTAGAAAGCAGTTTGACAGTCTCCATAAAATGACACCCACCTTTACCACACGACCCAGCAACGCTCCTCCTGCGTATTTATTTATAGTAGGATAAACGCCATCTTTAGCGGCCGGGGAGATGGCGCCCTCAGTAAAGGGCTTCGCTCTACCAGCACAAGCATCCAGGTCCCGGCCCCAGCACCGTGAAAGGCTGAGATCTTATCCACAACCCGGCACTGGTGTGAGTGTGAAAACACATGTGTACACACACACACACAAAGAGGCATGCACACACATACATACACACACCCCAGCACCGTGAAAGGCTGAGAGCGGGAGTACTTATCCATAACCTGGCACTGGTACGAGTGTGAAAACACGTGTACACACACACACAGGCATGCACACACATACACGCACACGCACATACTAACACAAACATATACACGCATAAACACATACACACACACACACACACACACACACACACACGCAAACAAAAGATTCCACCTCTTTAGGGGCTGGAGAGATGGCTCAGCAGAGATGCCTCTTGCACAGGACCTGGGTTTAGTTCCCACATGTGGCTCACAACCACCTGTAACCCTTGTTCCTGGGGATCTAATGCCCTCTCTGACCTCCACAGGCACTGCGCACATTTGGTGCGCACACGCGCGCGCGCGCGCGCGCACGCACACACACACACACACATACACACACACAGACAAAACACTCATACACATAAAGTAAATCTTAAAATAAAAACCTCTGTACACAAAGAGTTGTACACACATGTGTACAGCACATTTATTCGCAGTCCTCTCAAATTAGAAGTAATCTGGAAAATGGGTAAACATAGGTATGTTCATACAATGGAATATTACTCAGCGGTAAAAACGAAGAACCACTCATGCACTCAGCGTGGAAGAGTCTCCAATTCATGCTAAGGGAAAGTGTGCAAACGCTGAGGTTGAATGTTGCCTGCTTCCACTTGAGACAGCCCAGAGACGGCAGAGTATTCCAATGGAGAACAGCTTGATGTAGCAGTAGTCAGGAGCACAGGACTCACTCCAGAGGGGCAGGAAATGGGAGACTAAGGAGATGTCACTGTAACTGCACTGTGGCAACAAGGTTCTGTTTTTAAGCCTTGTGGAGCCCAACACAGTCAATTTTACTGTAATTTTAAAAGGTATGAGGCCAGGTGGTGGTGGTGGCGGCGGCGGCGGCGCACGCCTTTAATTCCAGTACTTGGGAGGCAGAGGCAAGTGGATCTCTTTGAGTTTGAGGCCAGCCTGGTCTACAGAGTGAGTTCTAGGACGGCCAGGGCTACACAGAGAAACCCTATCTTGAAAATCCTCCCCTCCCCCGGAAAAGAAGAATGAAAATTACATGCTTGGCCTGGGGGACATAGTGTTTGCTCTAGAGGCAGAGCGTTTGCTACGACACATGTGCAAGACCCCAGTATTTACGAGGGAGAACTCGTGTGCTGAAATTCCAGGTGAAGGGGAACAGAGGTGACTTCTGTCTGGGACCACTGTGGGTTTCAGAGCAGGCCTACCCTTTGCCTGCAAGTCCTGTTTCCTCCCTCTCCCCCGTCCTGGGGCGCTGCAGCTCAGGGCTGACCCCGTTCAGTTTCAGAAGCCTGGTGCCCCCTCTCAAAGCGCCCCGGGTTTCTGACACCCATGCTCTCCTCACCCACTCAGGGGTCTAGTGGGGACGAGCGGGCAATGGCTAAGGAGCTAGTCGAGCTTCTCTGCGACGGCAACGCAGACGCTGTGGCTGAGGGCCAGGAGCCACCCGAGTTCTGGGACCTTCTGGGAGGAAAAACACCCTATGCTAATGACAAGAGGTACGTGAACACATCAGCCCTGTATCCGGGGCTCCTCTAGCCTCTAGGCTCATGGCCTGTACAAATCCTAAGATCCTTCACAGTTTTAAACATGGCTTCTGGGCTGGGGACACAGCAAAGTCCTTGGGGTGCAGCATGCGGACCTGAGCTCCATCCCTCGGAATGTACAAAACAGACCGGCAACACAGGCCTGCGACCTGCTGCTGGGAAGGCGGAGACAAGAGAACCCCTCAGACTTGATGGCCAGCTAGTCTAGCCGAATTGACACACTCCAGGCTCTGTGGAAGCTATGGAGGAAAACACCCAAAGTCCTCTGTGCTCATATGTACATATGCACACACGTACATGGGCACCCACACAACGTGATTCCCATGCCCTCTGTCCTCATATGTGCATACACGCGCATGCACACGGGCACCCACACATCATGATTCCTGTGCCCTCTGTGCTCATATGTCCATATACACACACGCACATGGGCACCCTCACAACGTGATTCCTACGCCCTCTGTGCTCATATGTACATACACGCGCACACACACGGGCACCCTCACGTGATTCCCACGCCCTCTGTGCTCATATGTGCATACACACGCACGCACACACGGGCACCCTCACAACGTGATTCCTACGCCCTCTGTCCTTTCGTATGACTACTGCAGGCTGCAGCAAGAAATTCTGGACGTCCAGGTCCGGCTCTTTGAATGTTCCAATAAGACTGGCCGGTTCCTTGTTACTGAGGTCACAGACTTCACCCAGGATGACCTGAACCCAGGTGACGTGATGCTCCTGGACACCTGGGACCAGGTAAGACACAGCTGCAAAGTTCAGGACGGCTGCAAAGGTCACCGTTTGGCCTGGTTTCCATGTGGCATCCCCACCCAGGGTGAGAGCTGGTGCTGGACCAACTCTCTAAGTGAAACATCTTCAGTAGTTACCAGAGAGACTGCTGTATGCCACAGAATAGAATGATGTTTAAAACTCACCAGGTAAGGCCAGGCGTGGTGGAACATGCCTTTAATCCCAGCACTCAGGAGGCAGGGGCAGCCTGATCTCTGAGATTGAGGCCAGCCTGGTCTACAGAGTGAGTTCCAGGATAGCCAGGGCTACACAGAGAAACCCTGCCTCAAAACAACAAAACTCACCAGCTGTATTAGTTAGGATTTCTATTGCTGTGAAGAGACACCATGACCACGGCAACTCTTACAAAAGAAAACATTTAACTGGGGTGGCTTACAGTTCAGAGGTTTAGCTTATTATCATCATGGCAAGAAGCAAGACAGCATGCAGGCGGACGTGTTAAGACAGAGCTAAGATACAGCCTAGGGATGACAGCTGAGAAGCAGCTGTGGACTATGGACCTGACCTGTCACATTGGAGAGCAGGATGGGGGCCAAGAAGGAGCTGCTGTTGGCTGCGTGAAGACAGTGAATAGGAAGAGAGGGGTTGTGACAGGCAGGACGGCTGCTCTGGTCAAGCTGGCGAGTCCGCTGACTCGCTGCAGATGGACTATAGACCTGACTGTCACGACGCTCTGGCCTAGGTGACTGTCTGGAAGGCTCAGGTGTACCAAGAATGGACATCCCGACAGGCCCTTAAATAAGAAGGGCTACGTTTGGCCATGCTGAGGTTTGAGGTACACGGAGACAGCAGGAGTGTTTTGTAGGCGGTTAACTCAGGAAGCGTAGGTCAGGGGGCGAAGACTTAGAAGATACACACAGCAATTAAAATCACAAAGTCAAGCTGCTTCTAGAACCTTCCTCTTCGGAGCACAAATGAGGCTGAGAGCATTTTCTGTGGCTCTCACTGGCTGAGGGGATGAGCAGCGGGCACAGCAGCCCTTAGTCCTTGGTGTGAACACACTGACAATATAAAACCGGCACCCCAGGTGTTCCTGTGGATCGGAGCCGAGGCCAACGCCACGGAGAAGGAGGGGGCCCTCTCAACTGCCCAGGAGTACCTGGTAACTCACCCCAGTGGTCGAGACCCTGACACACCGATCCTGATCATCAAGCAGGGATTTGAGCCTCCTACCTTCACAGGCTGGTTCCTGGCATGGGACCCTCACATTTGGAGCGTAAGAAATTGGGGATGCCGCTCTGACTGCCAAGGGGCTCGGAACCCAGATGGGGGAGGTGGGGTACTGACTCAAGAGCCAAGTAAAACCAGGCCTCACTCTCCCTCCCACTGAATCCCTTGCCTTGAGTCCTCCTCTTCGGCTTCACCCGCACGGCAGGGAGTCTAGTCAGATAGTTCCAAGTTGGTGGGCAGGAGGCCGTGAGGAACCGTGAGAGTACCTGTCTACACCGTATTCACATCCCCGACGGCCAGTGCAGTCACAGTGGGCTCGCAGGAAGAAGTTGGGCTCCTGACAGACAGACAGACAGACGCCTGCTGCTTCTTGCCACCAGAGATTGTTGATCATGTGTAAAAGACCTTTGGACCCTACGTGGACCTCGAGTACACCGAAATGCTTTATGATTCTACCACGTTTTGCTTTTCCTGAAAGTATACACCAGGCCTGCGATGCCTCTCCCCTGTTACCGGTGAATACCTCACCCTGTTGTTTCTCTCTTCACAGGCAGGAAAATCATATGAGCAGCTAAAGGAGGAGCTGGGAGACGCTGCTGCGATCGTGCGAATCACCGCCGTGAGTGGGGTGGACCCTTTGACAAGGCTCCCCAGGACCTTGTCTGAGACAGCAGGGGCTGCAGATGCCACAGGGCAAACCCTCCCAAGTCTTTAAGTACCCCACCCTCCCCACAGCTGTCTCCTTGGATGCAAAGGGGTTGTTTTGTTTTCTTTGAAGTGCAAGCTAATGAGGCGCTCTACCGCTGAATCACACCCATCCTTGGAGGTATTTTAAATCATTAGAAAAGCAGGGCTCAAGCACTTGAGAGGGAGAATCCTGAGTTCCAGGCCAACCTAGTCTACACGGCAAGACCTCCATCTCAAAAAAGTGGGGAGGAGTGAAGGGGGGAAGGAAAAAGCAGGTCTCGGAGCCAAGCTCATTTACTGCCTTCCAGAATATGGAGAGGGCATGGAGAGCCCAGCTCAGCGGTTAGAACACGTGCTGCTCGTCCAGATCCCCAGCACCTGTGTTGGGTGGCTCACAAGAGATTGTAGCTACATCTCCAGAAGTACATATTCCTCTGGACTCCAAGAGCATCTGAACTCGTGTGAACACATACCACCACCCCCCATATACATAATCTACAGAATAAATGAAAGAGTTTAAGGTCATCCTTGGCTACATACTGAGTGGAGGGCCAACCTAGGATACACAATACTCTGCCTCATAAACCAAACCGAAAGAGAGAGAGAGAGAGAGAGAGAGAGAGAGAAATCTAACTTTATTATTCAGCTTTTTCTGCCTCTCAGGAGAGATTAAGATTATTGTCAGTATTTCTCAGAGACAAACCTCTAATCCAAATGATATCTGAATAGTTTCCAACAATGTGTCCACAGCAGCTCAGGCCACTGACCCCTATTTTAACAGCTAAAAGAGGTGGACCTTGCAGCCAGCAGCCTGTCCTGTGTGCCACAGGATGCGTGGCACAGGGCGTTCCGACATTTCATGCTGTCCTTTGTGCTCTGCAAAGTCAGATCCCAGAGCTAACGGGCTGCAGTGAGTGTCTTTAAACCGTACTTAAGTGTGGCTTCAGTCTCAAGGCGTTTAGCAACTGGAAACATAGGACCTAAATAAAAATGCCAAGAAAAGGGATGGAGTCAGAATGTTCAGAAGACTTGCAGCTGGAGGTACAGCTCAGTGGCAGAGCCCCTGCCAAGCACACACGAGACTGGGTTCATATCCCAGCGCTACATAAAGACCTAAGTGCAGTGTGTACGCCCACCTGGCTCTAAACACTCACAGGAGGCCTGCTGAATCAGCTTTCCGAGGCCGTTCTGACATGCATCCAGGTTTGGGGACCACCGTCTGAAAGACGATTTACAAAGGGTGAAGCGGCGTAAGCCAAAATGTAAACCTTATACACACAGAGAACTGATATGCAAGACGTCAATCTTTGCCCATTCTTCTTACTTAGGACATGAAGAATGCAACCCTCTCCCTGAACTCTAATGAAAGTGGGCCAAAGTATTACCCTATAGAAGTTCTACTGAAAAGTCAGAACCAGGAGCTGCCTGAGGATGTGAACCCTGCCAAAAAGGAGGTACGCGACTGTGGAACTGCGTGTGTGTGGGGGGGGGGGGGGCTGTCCACATAGATTAAAGCGCCACGCTCAAGAAAGGGCTTAGGACAGTCTGGGCACACTGCAGGCACTCTGGGGGCATCTTCGCTACTGCGTCAACTGAAGCCTCCTCCGTGAATGTCTTCCTCTCTGTGGCCTTCACCTCTCTGCTGCTAGTCCAGGCCAGCCACCGTGCACTACTGTGAACTAATCTGTTTCCCCACTATTCCCCAAAGCATAATCCTCATTAACAGCCAGGGGTCGCTCAAAAGCAGACGATACCGCTCTATTTAAGACACCTCATGGGCTGGCGAGACCACTCAGAGGGTAAAGGCGTTTGCCATCAAACTTAACGACCCAGGCTCGGCACCCAGGACCCACACAGTGCGAGGAGATAACTGAGTCCCACAAGTTGTCCTCTATCTCTAAATGCATGCCCCTCACATACACACACTAAATAAATAAATGTAATAGAAAACTTTAAAACAAACACCTCCCACTGTACTTAGAGAAGACCCCAAAGGCCTCCACGGTCTGGCCCTGCCCCTTGGGGGGGGGGGTCTCACATACCCTCTTTACTCACCACCCTTCAGCCAGTGCCTGCTTTTCTAACCCTTGAACATGCTCACCCGGCCATGGGGTCTTTATGCTTACTGGTGTTCCTGTGAGAGTTCACTGCTCCTAAAACACCTCAGAGCCGGCCCCTTGCCATTCAGGGTTCAGCTCTGGTTGGCCTTCCTTGACGGCCAGTTTCCTGACGACCTTCCCCTGACCACTCCCTCCCTGTGGCACACACTCCCCTTGGACTCACTGTCCTGTCTTAGGTGTTAGTTAAATGAAGCAATACATTGAATGGACAGATGAATGAATGGGTTTTCCCCTTGAAAGAGCTGGTTAAAGGACTCAGGGTATTCTGTAACGTCTTGAGATGTTGAGATCAAGTCTTCAGCATCTAGACTCCAATGTTCTTAGAAGCAGAGGCCACAGGTCAGTTGGGCTTAGGGGCTCATGACTGTAATCCCAGCACTAGGGGGCCTGAGGCTGGGGAGTCACCATAGGTTCCAGGTCAGCATGGCCTATATAGTGAGTTCTAGGACAGCCTGGGCTATGGTGAGAGGTTGTTTCAGAAAATAATCTCCACATGATCGCCGAGCTGGGATGATCTATTCAACCTTGCACTTTAAGACTTCTTGGGGTTTAGGGATACAGGGCAGTGGTGGAACACATTCCCAGATTCCCCAGAGTTCCCCTGGGTTCACTCCCTCGCACCAAAAGTATTCAATAAGAATGGTAGTTAAGAGCATGAAGCAAAGAACACTCCATTCAATTCTCCATCCTTCCAAAATCAGATGTTTATAATTCATCCATAACATAAAAATCCATTCACTGCCTATGGGGCAAGGAACCAGGACTGAGTGGTAAGCTCGGCCAGCTTCTCCCACTGGCCCGGATGGGACTCCATAGCCAATGAACAACTTAGGTCTGTTACAGTCTTCCTGAACATCCAGGGCCTGCCTAAGCCACGTGTTTACTGTTTGTGGCTCTAGGGCTCAAAGCCAGGCAGGACCCTTTACGTGTAAGCAAGCCCAGAGCTACGTAGCTCCTCCACCAGCCCCAGGGCAGGTCCTCCACCAGCCCCAGGGCAGGTCCTCCACTGGCCCCAGGGCAGCTCCTCCACGGGCCCCAGGGCAGCTCCTCCACCGGCCCCAGGGCTCACTCCTGCCCACTCGCTTCCCCTATTGGCACTCATGAAATGCCCTGCCTGCCTTCTCACTAAAAGTTGTGTTTTCTCTTAGAATTACCTCTCGGAACAAGACTTTGTGTCCGTATTTGGCATCACAAGAGGGCAGTTTACTGCTCTGCCTGGCTGGAAACAGCTCCAGCTGAAGAAAGAAAGGGGGCTTTTCTAAAGCAAGGCATGTCTGTTGTCCGACCACAGGAGAGAGCAAGCTCATGGTGCCAACATCAGCAGAGGTGTCACACACCCACTGAGCCTGACATCCGGCAGCTTTAGCTACCACCCATCTGAAATCCCAGCACGCCCTTTTCCTCCTCATCAGCCTTGCATTCATTCCTTGGTCGTTCTACACGAAAATGTTGACTACTCACTTTTCGGCTTTCGTGGCCCAGAAAGCATGAACATAGACAAGTTGAGAGAGAGAACCAGAAGCTGAGCTTAAACTGTGTAATGCGTCAGGACCCACATTTGCTTTTAAACTACACCCTGTTACCCTCAGATCACTGGAATTACTTGCACACTCACTCAAAGGCCATACTCCAAATACCCAGGTCTATCACATGCCAGAGCATGTTCAACTTTTCAAATAAAGAGGCCACGTGAGCACATCGGCGTCCTTTCTAGTCTTCTGGGTTCCTTCTTATGGTGACTTCAGTTACTGTGGGAATGGCATTTCAGTGCTGAGAAAGTGCAGAGGCAATGCTGAAGCTGGGCCTGGTTCACAAACCTGTAATCGCAGCTACCAGCTCAGCCGGGACAGGCACATAGTGACGTCATGGCCTGCCTGGGCTACAGGGTGAATTCCAGGCCAAGCTGAGCAACTTACAAAGACTCGGTCTCAGAATTTTTTTAAAGTGCACAGTGTAGGGCAGGAAAGATGGCTCAGGAGTTGAGAGCACTTACTGCTCCTGCAGAGGACCCAGGTCCAGCTCCCAGCCCCCACATGGTGGTTCATAAACATCTATAACTCCAGTTCCAGGGGATCCAATCAGTGTCTTCTTCTGACCTCAAGCAGGCACCAGGCATGTACATGGTACATATGAATACATGCAGGCAAAACATTCATACACATAAAATAAAAATAGATCTTTAAAAAACGAAAAGTACACAGCAGTAAAATGCTCACCTCAGCAGCACGCCTGAGGTCCTAGAAAATTCCCAGCATCCAAAGCAAATCAATAAACGTCAACGTTGAGAGCCGTGTAGTTAACTGAACCACTGTCGTTCCTGTCCTGACACAAGAATGTCAAAACCTGCCTCACAGCTACGCAGGAATCCCCCAGCCCCAGCAGCCACACCCATTTCAGGGGCACACGCTAGTGTACGGACCACTTCAGAGGGCCTGCTGTAGGCATCAGGCAGTGAACCCACATCTTCCGGACAACTCCAGCGCACAGCAACGTATGAAGTCCTGATCTCAGGAGTAACAGTGCAGGACATGTTCCAGGAAGATGTCCAAGGTATCACAGCATGAAAGCAGAGTCACGGGAACAAGACAGAGCGTGTGAGAAACTTAGGGACCACGTAACAGGTTGACGATGGGGACTGAGGAGACGGCCTACTGGGTCAAAGTGCTTACGACACAAGCCTGGCGTGTGCGCACTCACACATTCACACAGTTTTTTAAAATTTCAAAAGTAGTTAAATCCAGTATTGTTTAAACGAGAAACTTCTACTTTATTACACCACTACTTAACAACTTCACCTGCGAGTCTATAATTTCATTATAAACTAAAAAGAAAAAAACAAATTCGAGGGTTGAAGAGGTTTTAGAAAATAACTTTTTATAAGGAAACCCAGATGTAAAAATAAATACTCCACCCAGGCCAAAAACCTATTCGGCCTCCGCTGCCTCTTCGGCTTCCCCACACTCAAAGCGAACGAAATCCACTACAGATATGCCCTGGGGCTGCACGTACTGTCCCAGTGTGATGGAAGGGTCCAGCAGGTACGGCTGGGACAGCATTCTGGTCTCAGTCTCTCCTCCAGGCTCATCATCCAGGGAGCCGACGGAGAGCGGGGCCATGCCCACCACATGCTGCCCCAAGCGGCGACCCACGTCCTGCAGGTTTTTGTTCTGCTCACAGGTCTCGCAGACGACCAGGGCCCCGTACTTCCCCAGCACCAGGTTGTGGAGCGAGGGACTCTGCAGTGCTCCGTGCACGTAGGAGCCAACATAGAACCCAGACGGCACCTTCACCCAGGCAGCTCGCTTAAGAATCATGTTCTCTCCCAGTTTCCCTATAAAAGAGCAAAGGACAAGAAACAACGACCACTGGGTTGCGATGGCCGCTGCGGCAGAAATGGGGCCCCGGCGTGCACGGCGACCTTTCTGTACGTGCAGTAGATCTGCAATGAGACACAGACCCCAGCCTCAGCCCGTATTTAAGGAGGAAGGGGAGGAGGGAGAAGAGCAGAGCACTCCAGTTAAGGCGAGGCTGGCTGCCACGGACTCACCTCCCGGTTCTGCCTCTTCCCGGCTCTGTGACCTGGGGCATTTATCATCTATACAATGGAAATGACACTACCTACCTGTCAGGGTTACTGCGAGAAATAAAGAAGGTGACATATACAAGAAGCATGTCTTGTGGTTCTCATGTATGGCGGGCACTCAGAACCTGGCTGTTCTCATCAGACTAAACTCAGACTGAGAACTCAAGTGATTCACCCACCTACCTATATGTGGCAGAGTTGGAATTACAACTCAAAGCGGACCCCAAAGTAATTAATGAATTTTCTCCCCACCAAGTCACTCTCTCGACACACAACCACAACAGACAGACACAACTCCCATCACCAACAGTATCTGGAAAGGTCTCTAACGAAAGCCCCAGGAGAGCCAAACCCCAGTCACCTGACAGTTTCAACTTCCGCTCACTCATCAAAAGTACAACGACAACATTCCCAAAACCTCACGAGAACCAAAAGCAGATCTCTTTTTCTCCTTCTCCCCCAGGATCCCCTCCCAAGAGAAGCCGAAATAAAGAACAGAAGGGACGGAGGCTGAACAGCGGGGTCTGAGAAGACGCAGGGTTAGCCACACTTACAGCCAGAGGTCATGAAGAGGAAGATCAAGAAATCGAGTAAATATGAAAACAGCACAGAGCTCTACCCAACAGTTAATTACCAGAAGCTGACAAGGCCAAAACTCCCATTTCTTCCAGGATTTCTTAACACAGCTGTTGGCCTGGCTGCTCACCCATGACTCACTAGATAGAACTATGCCTTCACTAGACACTGCAGAAGACTATTTGCTTCCCTCCCTCCATCTGGACATGTGGAAAGAGAGCAAGATCCTCCCTGAGGCCACCACAGTGACTGGAGCATGGTTCCCCGACGGTGGCTTCTACATATGTGCACCTCAAAAACTCACGATCTAATATGTGCACCTCAAAAACTCACGATCTAATTCCGAACACAGATGATCTTAAACTTCTTTAGAAAAAAGATTTACTTTTTTTATGTGTATGGTGTTTTGACTACGTGTATGTCTGTAAACCACATGAAGCCAGAACTCCTCGGGACTGGAGGGATTAGAGGTGGTTGCTAGCCACCATTTGCTGGGAATCGAACCAGGGTCCCCTGGACGAACAGCCAGGGTTCTTAACTGCTGAGCCACCTTTAAGTCCCTTAAATGTTCTTTTTCACCTTAGTGAACGTCTCTAAGTGGTCACCTGGAGCTGAGGAGCCATCGTCTCTGCCTTTGTTCAGTCAGCACAGTGATAAAATCATTTTAACCAGCTGTAAACCACTAAGAACCATGAGAGTTAGTTTATAAACCTAAACTCCTTTATGTAATTCAGGATTCTGACCGTACCGGAACTCCAGTTCCATCAATACACTAACAGGTTAGAGCTTGGGAATGGTGCCTCCTTTGGCTCTTCAGGGTGTCCACTGCTCCCCAGAAAGGCCAACCCATATTCACATACTCTTGCCCACAGACGCATATGAGCTTGTAATTCTTTTTTTTTTTTAATTATTACTGAGAATTTCATACATGTGTATGACATGTTTCCATCATATTCACTCCACCACCTGCCTCCAACGCCTGAACTAAGGTCACAATTACTGAATGACATTTGGAGGGACACCAAAAACAACAAGAAAACCAGATCTTAACGTCCACTTTCCAGAACCCTCGGACACTCACCAATTGCTAAGGCCAAGTGATCCTTGAGAGAGCCTTCTCGGTTGGGCCCGGCCGCAAGTTCAGAGAGCTCAGAGGAGTTCAGGAAGCCCTAAGTACAGGAGACAAGAGTGAGCTGGCTCTGCACCCCTGGAATCAGAGAACAGGCAGAAAGAGCCGACATCCAGGAAGACCGTTAAGACAACCACCTATAAATAGATGAAGCTTCCACGAAGCCAAGGATGTTAAAAATTGATAGCGTCATCACACTTATAAATCTTACTTTCTACTGCACCATCCCCCACTCCACTGGATTCTCCCTCATCCTTAGCTTACCTTCTTAGGATTTCCTGGAAACCGGGACCGGGATTTTACACAATCAGGAAGTATTGACACTAGCGGGTTTGGGGCGTGTGGCCAGGAATTCATGATGATGCCCAAGCAGGCAGGACAGAGCAGTGTCCAGCTGAGCACTCAGCTTTTGACTCTGTGGCTCTAGTGCTGAGGATGTGAGGACACATTTTCTGTTTTATTACTATTTTGGGGGGACAGAGTCACATTCTGTAGTCTTGAAAAGCTTGGAACTCACATTGTAGCCCAGGCTGACCCTAAACTCCTGGAAATCTTCCCGCCTCCGCCTCCCAAGTGCTGGGATTACAGATATGCATCACCACGACCAGCTTGATGAGTCTAAGTTTGTTTTTATTTTTCTTAATGCACATATACATGAGATTATTCATTGGGCAATTATTTCTAATCGTTGAATTTTGGCAACAGCCGAAATGCCCAAACACAGGAGACAGGCTGAATAATCCGTGGCACATCCACACAACAGAATACTATGCAGTTAGGAAAAAAGACAAAGAAACAGTGAATATGGCGGTGCATGCCTTAATCCCGGCACTTGGGAGGAGGAGGAGGCAGGAGGACAAGAAGCTCGTGGCTAGCCTGGGCTACACAGGGTGGCTAACGCTGGCCAAGCCTGCTCGAGACACCGTCTCAAACAAAGGACGATCTTTATGAACTGCTGTGAACCATTTCCACGACACACAACAAATGAAAAACCAAGTCTACATGTCACCATCTGTACCAGAAATCAGTGCACATTTACACTTACTTTTGCAACAAAAAATACTTAAAAGTAAAAGCATGATCCAATGAGCCTGCTGACCTACAGAAGTAGTTAAGAATAGGGGGTGAGGGAGGGGGGCTGGAGATGGGGGGGGAGCTGGAAAGAGGGCTCGATGGTTAAGAGCACTGGCTACTCTTCCAGAGGACCCTGGTTCAATTCCCAGCACTCACATGGTGCTAACTCCAGTTCCAGGGGACCCAGTGCCCTTCCTGGCCTCTGAGGGCACTGTACACATGTGGTGGGTTGTATAGTTAGAACACTCACACACATAAAATAAAAATAAATCTGCCGGGCGGTGGTGGCGCACGCCTTTAATCCCAGCACTCGGGAGGCAGAGCCAGGCGGATCTCTGTGAGTTCGAGGCCAGCCTGGACTACCAAGTGAGTTCCAGGAAAGGCGCAAAGCTACACAGAGAAACCCTGTCTCGAAAAACCAAAAAAAATAAAAAATAAAAAAAAAAATAAAAATAAAAATAAATCTTAAAAAAGGAAAGGAGAGGGCTGGAGAGATGCCTCAGAGGTTAAGAGCACTGGCTGTTCTTCCAGAGGTCCTGAGTTCAATTCCCAGCAACCACACGGTGGCTCACAACCCTCTGTAATGAGATCTGGTGCCCTCTTCTGGCCCGAAGGGACACATGCAGGCAGAACACTGTATACATAATAAATAAATAAATCTTTAAAAAAAAAAAAGGAAAGGAGAATGGGATTCAAGGCTGGAGAGGGAACTCAGGTTCAGAGCGCATAATGTTCTTCCGGAGGACCTGAGTTCAGTTCCCAGTACCCATATTGGGCGGCTCACAACCACCTGTGACTCCAGCTCCAGGATCTAACATCCTCTTCTGACCTTTGTGGGCACCCATGTGCATACAAACAAACATAAAATAAACTCTGTACAGGAAAAAATAACGAGCTTCAGGAGGGATGAGGAGGGGACCAGTGATGCGGCTCAGTGGGTAAAGGCGTGTACGGACAAGTAGACCACCTGAGCTGCACAGAACCACCATGGCTAAAGGACAGAGTCCTGTCAGGCTGACCTCTGACCTTCAGGCACCCATACACACACACACACACACACACACACACACACACACACACACACACACACCCACCAGTAAGTATATGGTAATAAGAATGTAATAAAAATATCTTTAAAGGGCTGGAGCGACGGCGCAGAGGTTAAGAGCACCGACTGTTCTTCCAGAGGTCCTGAGTTCAATTCCCCCAGCACCCACATGGTGGCTCACAACCATCTGCAATGAGATCTGGTGCCCTCGACCTGTAGTCATACATGCTGTATACAAAATAAATAAATAAGTATCTCTTTATCTTTTTTCTAAGAGTTCCTTTAAAGACTCTATTAGAGTCATTCACGGGATATTCTGATCAGCTGGGCTGAAGCATCAGCTTGTGACTAACAAGAGACCAGGACCACTGCTGTGAAAGCTCTGCTTTACAGGGACAATCGAGGCCGTCTGGCCGGGACTGAGGCGAAATCTTCTGCGAAGAGTTTCTTCAGGGTCACCAAGTAAGGCAGCGAGAGTTGGAACCCCCAGCACCCGCATAAAGAGATGGCCACCCCAAAAAGAACAGACCCCTAAGACGGGGAGTGAAAAATTCAGCCAGCAGGAGACCTTCAAACTCACTTTAGTGTACGTGGAGAGTTGATCCTTTAGGCTCTGACAGTGAGACATGGTTCCCAGGGCGACTTGCTGGACCAGCTCTTGAAATTTTAAATTTCTAGAGACAAAATCCGTCTCACAGTTTACCTGTGGGAACAAATGGATATTGCTGTGTAAGCTGTTGACTAAGTTTCTCAAGAGTGCCTGAAGGTTGGAGACCAAGCCGAGGCACGGACAGAACAAGCTGCAGACGCAAGAGAAACAAGTGACCTCGGGTTTCAAAGGGGCAGCTCCTTGTTCTGGGGAGGCAGAAACCAGGAAGTGACTGTTGCCATGGCAGCCAGTCGGCAACAACCTGCACCCCCAGGAGGACCCCAGAACGCCCTGAAGGGTTCACCACAAGTTCATCACTTGCCTGTACTAGACACCATAATCACTTTGTCCATTAACCTATTTGAGTTCCAAACCTTTTTTGTTTTGTAAAAGGGTCTCAGGCTGGCCTTGAACTCGGTAAGCAGCTGTGGATGACCCTGAACTGATCTTCCTGCCTCTACCTCCCAAGTGCTAGAATTACACCCATGCACCACCACGTCCACTCTCCAAAGCATCGTTAGTATCACTTGCTTATCTCATTCCTTTACTGGAGCCTCATCTGCATCTGCTTTTTCACCAGCCTCCTCTAAATCCACCACTTATCGGTCATCAATACACAGCAGTAAAGTTAATTACCGACTTTACAAATCTATTTTCTTTTCTTATCAGTTTTTTTTAGGGGTCAAAATTTCATATTGTAGCCTAGCTGCCCTCAAACTCACAGTAACCCTCCTGCCTCAGCCTCCCAAGTGTTGAACTTACAAGTGACGGCCACCACACCCTGATGCTAGTTTCTAAATCTACCTGCTCCAGGTAACAAAGCTGCACTGGATTCACACTTAGGAGAAATGATCTAGGTGGCTAGGCCATGTCCCATCAAGACACCTGTGCACTTCTACACTTAAACATAGGCCTTGAGAACTGAACTCCAAACGTCACTGTGGTCTCAAACAGGTTCCTTAAGCATGCAAAGGGTCTACCACAAACCTTACAGTCCAAGACACGGTTGTTTCACGTACACAGAACCCCAACAACTCACTTCTACTAAGACAGCCGCGTTTCCCTCCTGCAGCAGCCCGATCAAGCCGTCCTTGGTCTTCCTCCCGTGGAGCCTGGCCGCTTTGCTCCAACCCTCCTTCTGGGCCTGCTTGTGCAGCCAGGCCTCTGCCTACAAACGGAAGAGGAGAGCCAGTCACAGAAATTAGAAATGAATGGTCCTTTCAAACATATCCAAATCAGGGCTGGAGAGAGGGCGCCCTGGCTGCTCTTCCAGAGGTCTTGAGGTCCCAGCACCCACATGGTGGCTCACAACCATCTGTAATGAGGGCTGGTGACCTCTTCTGGCCTGCAGGGACACATGCAGGCAGAACAAGATACATAATAAATAAATAAATCTATTTAAAAAAATAAGATAAAATATATCCAAACCAGTCGGGCAGTGGTGGCGCACACCTTTAATCCCAGCACTCGGGAGGCAGAGGCGGGCGGATCTTGAAGCCAGCCTGGTCCATACAGTGAGCTCCAGGACAGCCAGGACAGTCAGGGCTACAAAGAGAAACCCTGCCTTGAAAAACAAAACAACAAACAAACAAATATATCCAAACCAACTGATTCTTTCCTCACTCCTGCATTCTATAACAGAAACCAGTCGACTACTAAATGCTCTACACTTGGCACTGTATGTAGCCAGTGTTTGTACAACTTTAATCTTCACAACCCCACTATGGGATAGACAGTAGTGTTTCCATTGTACAGACACAGTGACACAGCTCTAAAGGATTAATTGCAATGTATAAAGTTACGGGGTGTGTGCGCGCTTAACTTCAAAATTTACACCAACACTGACCTCCAAACAGCAGCAAACCCCACAGCCCTCTAACAAGGAGCACCGTTAGTTAACTCTGGGATTCTGGGTCAACTGCTCCCAGTGAAGTCGAAATCGAAGGGTAAAGCTATCGTTGAAGCCAAGTTCTTCTCTTTGGGCTCTGAAGTTCAGGACACTGGGCAGTAGGTCGCGTCTATGCCCCCCAGAACGGCGCCCGGAAGGAAAGTGCGAGGTCGAGCCGTAGCCCCGGGCCGAGCGGCACCTGCGCCCCCACCTGTTTGAGATCACCGTCGCAGGTCTCCAGAGCCTTCTTGCAGTTGACAAAGGAGTAGCCTGTCTTCCGCCGCAGCTTCATAAGGAGCTCCTTGCTGGAGGCGGACGAGGACACCGAGGGGCCCGCGTGACCACGCGAGTGCCACGGCTGGGACAGCTGCAGCAGGGCCGGCCTCGCCTGGAGGGAGCAAGGAGAGAGGGGTGAGCAGCCGGGAGCGGCCGGGGCTGGACAGCAGGCCAGGCAGGGCGCACGTCCGCAAGGGCGAGACCTCGCGGGGACCGCGGGCGAGCAGGGCGGAGAAGGGAGCGGAGCCCGCGTCGGGGGACCGGCAGGGCACGCTCACGGCACCCGGGAGCGCGCGCGGGTCAGCCCCGGGGCCAGCAGCCCTCACCGAGCGGCCGGTGCACACGACCGGGACGAGGCGCAGAGAGCGCAGCAGCGACATCCTCTCCGGCAGCCGGACACGCCGGGCTCCGCGGCGCGCAGGTGAGACGGCGGCGGCCTACGGCGTGGCGCGAGGGCCAAAACTCCTCCCGGAACGTGTCGCGCGGGGGTGCTGCCACCTGCAGGCTGGAGGAATATACTCGCCTCTTTTTTTTTTTTTTTTTTTTTTTTGCTTGGCTTTTTTTAAAAAACACATTTCACGAAAGACCCAGCCAGCCCTCAGTGGGTGACACGGAGAAGTGGCACGATAAAGTTGCCACAAAATAACAACACAAGACATGTAGGTAACAGTTTGTGTTTCTTTATTTCCAATTTTCATATTCAGTATTCATTTAGGACTCAGGACAAACGGGAGGTAGGTGGGTGGGCTCAGGAAACTCTCCAGGGTCACCTGGAGAGGTGAAGGAGTTCCTTCAACAAACCGAATAAATAATTCCTGAATTAGCAAAATATCTGCTGAACACCTGTGTGCCCGGAGCTGTACCACAGCCCTGTCCTCCGAGGTATCTATTGGCCAGGAAATGAGGAGCAGGTAAGACAAGATAAGGTCCCTAAACAGTTAAAAGATCTCCCAAGAAGGAAATCACATCCAAACAGAGGAGTCAGGAAAAGAAGGGTTTTTTTTGTTTGTTTGTTTTTGTTTTAGAAGCAAAGAGTGAGTTTTATCTGAAGCAGTGGCCCTTCCGGTAAAGAGTGGAGACGTAAGAGAATGCCGCCGTAGAGTTGGGGAGCAAAGAGTAGGGCTTTTGCAATTTGTCTAAAAGAGCAATACAAAAGGGATAGGAAATAGATACAAAGTTTGTGAGCCCGCGGGTGTAGCCTGAGTACCAAGCAGAGACGCTCCTTCTCGCAGCAAAAGCTAATCCAGCAGGGTCAGGAAAGGCTGCACGAATCTGAAGAGTAGTTTTGGAGGTTAAGAGAATGGCGGCGGCCACACCAGCGATAGCTGTGCGCCCAGACAGTAAGTGTGAAGAGCCCTACCCAGACTGCCCCAGAGGGCAGAGACGAGACGTGAAGGTAAAACAAATTAGGAAGGAAAAACCAGAGGTCAGAAGAACCCAGAACTCAATCCAGAGTTGGGTACAACATGATAGTCTGTGATCAGGTCCTGAACTTTGCAAAGGATGAAGGAGCTACAGCCCAAAGGGACAGCTCTGCTGCTCGTCCCCAGGCTCGGGTCTAGGAGAACTTGTCTTAGTGAGAGTCATATCACAGCAGACGAGAAGCGGGAGCTCGGAGGGGTCTTGGTACCAGCTCTCTCTCTCTCAATAGCTACATGTTCGGGGATGCACAAGAGGATCACTAATGCTCATTTTCCCCCTTAAAAAAATGTCAAAGATTGTTTTTTTTTTTGTTTTTGTTTTGTTTTCGAGACAGGGTCTCACTATATAGTTCTGGCTGGCCTCGAACTCCCCAGAGATCCACCTGCCTCTGCCTCTGGAGTGCTGGGGTTAAAGGCATATGCCACTACCCCCTGGCTAAGAATGTGCTTTTTAAGAAAGTTCATTCTGAGGCCGGGGCAGTGGTGGCGCACACCTTTGATCCCAGGACTCGGGAGGCTGAGGCAGGAGAATCTCTGATTTCGAGGCCAGCCTGGTCTACACAGTGAGTCAAGTCTACACAGAGAAACCCTGTCTCAAAAAACAAACAGAAGAGCCCATTCTGTTTAAAGAACTGGAGTGACCGGTGACAGTCTCTCGCAGCCACTATTCCTCACTTACCCTAAATATCCTGACTACCTTCTCCCCCTCCTCCTCTGGAGACAAGTGTTGGGCACCTTCTTTGGGCTTTAGACCCAATGCTTCTAGGACTCTGCTGTTTTTAACGGGCAGTCCCCCTCCTGCATCTTCCCAAGAATGCCTAGGGGAACAAATTGGAGGAGGGGAGAGAGAAGACAGGTAAGCCATCCTTTCCTTTTGTCCTGATGTTTACGGCTCTGGAGACAGGCCACTGAGACAGGGGCTGAGGTCAACAGGAAGGGTGATGTCGGGCAGGTCTCCCTCCCCTGTGCCTGGCTCTATAGATGTTAACATTCACATCCTCATCCCGCTGGGCCAGCTCCAGTTGGAAGTGCTGGGGTAGGAAGTGTTGAAAGAAGCTCTCTGTCCCATGTTCCTCTCTCATCTTGGAGGCCAGGTAGATGGTGCCATGGGGCCCACACAGGTGTTGGAGGGTCCCCAACAGCAGCGGGAAGGTAGGTTCCAGGTACACAATATCTGCCCCCAGCACCAAGTCATAGTTTCCAGGAAAGCCATGGTGGTCAATTCCCCAGGACAAGGCACACACCTTCGCCCGGCCTCCAGATGGCACGTTAGCGCGGACATTCTCCTGGATCTGCTCTAGGACCAGTGGTAAATCAGTGATGGTAACATCCCCCCCTGAGGGAGAGCAAGGAGGAGAAATCCAAGTCAGAGGGACCGTGACAAGGGCTCATGACTCCTGCCTGGAGGGTCCAGAGGCCTCAGGGCCTCACGTCTTGTCGACAGCCCGAAGTTCACTGGCTCTTAGTTGCCCTAACCTCAGCCTCACCCATACCACTCTCGTTACTCTACATTCTACAACATCAACATTCTCTCCGGGCTAATCTTCAACCTCTCTGGTCAACGCACAACAACCAGATGTCAGCAAAAGCCTGGGCAAGACTAAACTGGGGGTGAGCTGGGCACCCCCACCCATCTACCCACCCAAACTCAGAAGGCGTGACCTCAGCTGAGCCCTAAAGGACAAATCAGTCAGGTGAGGCTTTCCAAGCAGAGAATAGAGTACAAGCGCCTGGCAGAAAAGGGCACGGCATAGTTAAGAAAGGCTAGAGTCCAGAAGATGGGTTCTCAACCTGTGGGTCTCAACCCCCAAATGACCATCAGAAAACACAGATCTTTACATAACAATTCATAACAGTAGCAAAATTACAGTTATGAAGCAACAAAAAAAATTAACAGTTTTATGGTTGGGGGTCAGCACACCATGAGGAACTGTATTGAAGGGTCGAAGCGTTAGGAAGGTTGAGAACCACTGCTCTAAAATGTCAAGACCCAAAATGAGGACTTTGACATGTTAAAGAGAGTCAGGCTTGATAGAGTGTGTTCACATGCCAAGCAAGCACTCTGCCACGGAGCTACATTCCCAGTCCAAGAAATAGGTTTTAAGAGCAGAATTTGGGGTAAAGACGATCAGATCAGTACTACAGAATAGTCACACAATGAACATGTGTACTGAGTACTTGCTAAATGCTAGGGATACAACAGGAAGCAAAGCAAAGCTAACGGCGCCTCCCTAGTTTCATTCTAGACATGGAAACACTCACAATACCACAAAAGTAACCACTTAAGCGGAAGCATGATTAACAGTATAGAAAGCAGAAATAATAAGATCTCACTCATCCTCACCATGGGTCTGGATGCCAGGTGGTGTCTGGAATACCTCAGTGAGCAAGACAGGTAAGAATCCACCCCTCACGGAGTTTACAGAATAGTGCCAAGGGCTGAGCGTGATGGTAGCAGCACAGGCCTGGGACGTTAGCACTAGGGAAGCGGAGTCAGAACAGTCATCAGTTGGAGACCAGCTTGGGCTACGCAGCAAGACCCTGACTCAGAGAAACAGAAGAGGGCTGGAGAGACAGGTGAGTGGCTAAGAGCACTTGCTGCTCTTCTAGAGGACCCAGGTTCGGTTACCAGCACCTACATCAAGCGGCTCACAATGGTCCGAACTATAACTCCAGGGAATATGAGCCTCTGGCCTCTGATGGCACCCGCACTCATGGGCACAAACCTATATGCAGACATACACGCCTACAGAAAATTCAAAATTATAAAAATAATGTTTAGAAATAAATACATTTTAAAAAGGGAGCAGGCTGAGGTTGTAGCTCAGTTGGTAGAATACAAAAGGCCCTCGGTTTTATTCCACCAAATAAACAAATTAAGTAATTAATTGTTTAGAGTGGAAGTGTTAGTACATGCCTGTAATCCCAACACTAGAGAGGAACAGGCAGCCAGATCAGAAGTTCAAGGTCATCCTTGGCTACACAGTTAGAGGCCAGCCTATACTACATGATACCCTGTTTCAAAAAAAGGGGAATGGGGCAATAAGGTAACTCAGAAGATAAAGATGCTTGCCACTGCTGGGCAGTGGTGGCCCACGCCTTTAATTCCAGCAATCGGGAGGCAGAGGCAGGTAAATCTCTGTGAGTTCGAGGCCAGCCTGGTCTACAGAGTGAGTTCCAGGAAAGGATCCAAAGCTACACAGAGAAACCCTGTCTCAAAAACAAAACAAAAAACAAAAACAAAAACAAAACAAAAGATACTTGCCATCAAATCTGACAATCTGAGTTTCATCTCTGAATCCCACATAGTGGAAGAAGAGAACTGTTCACTCCCACAAAACATTCTTTTTGACCTCCATATGCACACCATGACAAATATACTCCTCTCGATAAACAAATGTAACTTTTTTCAATTAAAAAAAGAACAATGGTGCTGGGCAGTGATGGCGCACACCTTTAACCCCAGCACTCGGGAGGCAGAGACAGTGGATCTCTGAGTTCGAGGCCAGCCTGGTCTACAGAGTGAGTCCAGGATAGCCAAGGCTACAGAGAGAAACCCTGTCTCAAAAAACGACAAAAACGGGCAAGAAACGGTGACAGGACCAACGGAGATGACCCCGAGCACAGTGGCACCTGTTTGCAATCGGAGTATTTGGGACGCTGAGGCAGGAGGACTGTTAGTCCTAGACCATCTGGGGCTACGGGGCAAGACACACTGTCAACAAACCAAAAATAAACAGGGCCTGGTTGCTCACTCACACCTATAATCCCAGCACTTGGGAAGTAGAGGCCAGAAGATGAGGCATTTAAGGTCAACCAGGGTTACATCAGACCTTGTCTGAAAAAAACAAAGCCAAGAAAGAAATAAGACACACAATACATCAAATAGTATTATGTGCTACAGTGAGGCCGGAGCAGGGAAAGGTATGAATCCTTTTTTTTTTTTTTTTTTTTTTTTTTTTGGTTTTTCGAGACAGGGTTTCTCTGTGTAGCTTTGCGCCTTTCCTGGAACTCACTTGGTAGTCCAGGCTGGCCTCGAACTCACAGAGATCCGCCTGGCTCTGCCTCCCGAGTGCTGGGATTAAAGGCGTGCGCCACCACCGCCCGGCTGAATCCTTTGAGGGTGAGGGCACGGAGCACACCTTTCATGGGAAATCCTCCTTACGCATTATTAGGAAAGACCTGAAGGCAGGCAGGGACGGAGCTTTCCCTGGCTGAAGTCTACCAAACACCAGATCAGCGGCACACGGCACACGAGAGCTTGAGGCAGGACTCGGCCAGGCAAGGTATGGAGATCTAGCAGCAGGGCCACACAGCAGCAGGAGCAGAGTGAGAGGGGACAGAGGGGCCACACCCCGCGGTGAGGGAAGGTAGGGGAGCGTTTGAAGCAGAGGGACAGCCCACACTGACTCAGGGTTTACACTTCAGCACTTCGATGGCTGTGATTAAAAACACACAAACAACCTGGCCGCCGGAGAGATGGCTCAGCAGTTAAGAGCACTTGTTGCTCTTGCAGAGGACCCAAGTTTGACTCCCATCACGTGACCCACGTGGTGGCTCACAACCATCTGTAACTCCAGTTCCAGGGGATCCAGCGCCTTCTTCTGACCTCTTCAGGCACCAGGATCCCATATGGTACACACATGCAGGCAGAAAACACACACACACACACACACACACACACACACACACACACACACACACGAACAGAAAACAGCAGCAGGGCAAGAACAGAAACAGGAGGATTAGTCAGGAGGGGAAAGACGATGTTGGTTGGAAATCGGGCAGTGACAGTGACTGAGAAGTAGTCAAGTCCTGAACATATTCTGAAGCTGCTGTCAGTGTCGACAAACTGATTTCCTCTCTCTCTCTCTCTCTCTCTCTCTCTCTCTCTCTCTATCACACACACACACACACACACAGACAGAGAGACTTTATTTTGACTAAGGGTGTCTTTTGAACATCTGTCCTAACTCAGGCCAAGTTGCCCATTTATGTAAATGCAGAGGGCTTCGGAAGAGGCAGGCTTGGAAATGGGAGCATGATTTCATTGGTGAGCAAAGTTTGAAACGTCCATCAAACAAGCACATGAAAATATTAAAAAAGGCAGTGGGTTACGTAAACGAGTCTGGATATAGAGATGATGGAATCCTGGTCCTCACCATAAAAAGGACACTCAAAGCCACAAAATGATGTGACTTCTCAGGAGGGGGCACAGACAGAAAGAAATAAGGGGTCAGAAGGGCTACTCCTGAGCTCTGGGCACTCAAAGTTCTTGTTGTAAGCATGAAAAGGAATCAATAAAAAAAAAAAAAGAATGGAAAAGTGTGCCAGCGATGTAGGTGGAAGCCAGAAGTGTGTTGGCCCAGAAAGCAAAGGACTTTTCAAGGAGAGAAGAGTATCATTGTCAAATGCTAAGTCAACTGGAGTGGGCTAGAAACTGACTCCTGAGTTCAAACCATGGGGTTAGAAGTGAAGCTCAGAACCCCAGCAGGGACACAGAGGGAGTGAAAGTCCACCTGGAGTGGACTAAGAACAGAAAGGAGGAACCACAGTGACTTTTTATTTTATGTACACCAGTGCTCTGTCTGCATGTACACCTGCACACCAGAGGAGGGCATCTGATCTCACTACAGATGGTTGTGAGCTACCATATAGTTGCTGGGAATTGAACCCAGGTCCCCTGGAAGAGCAGCCAGTGCTCTTAACCACTGAGCCATCTCTCCAGCGCCTACAGTGACCTTAACATTTGGATGTGTTCTCTCCTGAGCAGAGAAATGGCTCAGGAGACGGAGGATCAGCCACTGCCCTCCCCCACAATAGGAATTTCAGCATAGTTATGTACATACATATCATATACACAGACATACAATGCCCCACATAGACACACTCTGCATATAGAATGTGTGTGTGTGTGTGTGTGTGTGTGTGTGTGTGTGTGTGTGTGTGTGTGTGTGTGTGTAGAGAGAGTGAGTCATCAGATAAGAGTGATAATGCAGAGGAGGCACTCACAGTTTGAAGAATAATAAGGTTAAGAAACAGAAATGTCGAGCCGGGCAGTGGTGGCACACGCCTTTAATCCCAGCACTCGGGAGGCAGAGGCAGGCAGATCTCTGTGAGTTCGAGGCCAGCCTGGTCTACAGAGAGAGATCCAGGATAGCCAGGGCTACACAGAGAAACCCTGTCTCAAAAAACAAAAAACAAAAAACAAAAAGCAAAAGAAAAGAAAAGAAACAGATGTCAGACTGGAGAGATGGCTCAGGGGTTAAGAGCACTGGTAGCTCTTCCAGAGGGCCTGAGTTCAAATCTCAGCAACCACAATGGTGACTCACAACCATCTGTAATGGGATCTGATGCTCTCTTCTGGCATGCAGGTTTACACACATAGAGCACTCATACCAGAGAGAGAGAGAGAGAGAGAGAGAGAGAGAGAGAGAGAGAGAGAGAGAGAGAGAGAATAGATGTCTAGGATCGTGGAAGAATGAATGGGCAAAGGAAATTTGACAAGCTAGCTGGGTAGCACAAGGACCCACCTGAGCTCAGTGAAATCAAGTTTAAAATGAGTCTAGTGAGTACAATTGTGTGGGCACTAAGAGGGCCTAACCCTGCCGGGCGGTGGTGGTGCACGCCTTTAATCCCAGCACTCGGGAGGCAGAGCCAGGCGGATCTCTGTGAGTTCGAGGCCAGCCTGGGCTACCAAGTGAGTTCCAGGAAAAGGCGCAAAGCTACACAGAGAAACCCTGTCTCGGAAAACCAAAAAAAAAAAGAGGGCCTAACCCAGCCTGGGCTGGGGGTGAGGGGAGGCAGGAAGCCTTCCTTCCCTTGGAAGGGTTGTTTGAGCCTAGCAATGAAGAATACATCTGCATTAACCAGGCAGTAAAACTGTTTCAAGCAGAAAGTTCAGCCCCTGTGCAGTCCCTAAGGAAGGAGACATGAAAGCAGGTTTGCAGAAGGGACAGAAGAGTAATGAGAGCACAAGGAGAAGAGGCCAGGGAGAGGCACAGAAAGAGGCAAGAGAGAGAGGCAGGATGTTGGTAGCCACGTTAAAGGGGTCACTTCCACCCTGAAAGAAGTCAGGACCAGTAGGCGATTTGGTGGGGTGTGATAATGATAGCTGCATTTTGAAAAAGCCATTCTGATTGTAGGGTGGTGTGAGCCAGGATCTAGGTGGGGGCCAGAAGCAAGAAGACCAACCAGTCTGACTACTTATTATAAGTCTGAGCAAGTGATGGTGGTGGTTCAGGTTGGGGAACCCGGAGTGGAGTCGAGAAAACACAAGAAAATCCAAGAAATTTGTAGGAGTTAAAACCCACAGGACATGAAAGGTTTGATGATGAAAAGCGGGGACATGACAGAGGTGATGTCTAGGTTCCACACTGGGTGGATGGTGGCTTCGTGATGGGAGAGCCTGAGGGAGAAACAGGTTTGATGGGGGGAAATCACAGAGTCAGTTTGGGAGTGCCAGCCTTTTCCCATCCAGAAGCATGAAGATACTTACGAAAATCAGGGCAAGAAGTAGTTAGTGTCCTAACTAAATACAGTGGGACAAGAAATAAACAGTTGTGCAAGTATTGAGAAGGCAGGGCCAGCTGATCTCTGGGATACAAAGCGAGAAAATAGGAGATGACACCCAGATTTTGGACTTGGACTTGGCAACTGAACAGGGCACAAAAAAGCAGCCGCTGGTCTACCAGTAATAAAGACAGGTGTTCTCTCTCTCTCTCTCTCTCTCTCTCTCTCTCTCTCTCTCTCTCTCTCTCTCACACACACACACACACACACACACACACACACACACACCACACACACAATTTCCTCCTTGCCTCCCTCTCTCCCTTCCTACCTGAGACAGGGTCTTACACTGTAGCCCAGGCTGGCCTTTGGCCTCAGCAGCCTTCCCATCTCTGCTGCCTGAGTGCTGGGATTACAGGCACAAACCCCAATCCTTGGCTTCTTTCCTTTTAACGTAACTTTCTGATTCTCATCCACCACCCACCCTCAACTCCTCCTCTGTCAGAGCTCTCCTGGGTGGACCTCCTTCAGGAGTGATAGCTCTGGCCACAGCACACCCATGCCACACATACCTCCCAATCGAGTATGTACCATAGCGTCTTCTCACACTGTCCCTCACTAGACTACAAGTTCCTTGGAGAGCGGAAATCCTTCTTATTCGATGTCAAATCCTCAGCCCCCAGCACATCTCTTGGCACACAAAGGACTTAGAATACATGTTGACTGAATGAACAGAAGAATAAATGTCTGCCTCTGCAAAGACTTCCCTTAATGTGACCCAGTTCTGTCCCTAGGAACAAGGACATCCTAGTTTGCATGACTTAGACCACAAGGTAAGGAACCTTTTTAGTTTCTGGCTCTTTACAAAACCGAAGCAGAATTTCCCTGACCCTTTCCTTTCCCAAGTCTCAGCTGATTAATTACCCCCTACACCTAAAATGAATATATACATAATCATCACACCCTAGCCCTCCAAAATTCATAACCTTGTTTGTTCTAGCAATAAAAATCTAAGGCCATATTCGGTACATAAGGCCATATGGTGGTACACACCTGTAATCCCAGCACTTGGAAAATTAAGGCATGAGGACCAGGAATTTAAGGCTAATCTCCTCTATATAATGAGTTTTAGGCCAGCCTGGGCAACAAGAGAACCTGTCTCGACCAGACCACACTCCACTGCACTCCTCCACAAAAAGAAAGGGGGAGGGGAGAAAGAAAGAGAGGAAGAGAGAGAGAAAAAAAGAAAGAAAGAAGGAAGGAAAGAAAGAAAGAAAGAAAGAAAGAAAGAAAGAAAGAAAGAAAGAAAGAAAGAAAGAAAGAAAAGAAAAGATAAAATTCAAGAGACTCTAACATAAGGAAGCTACAAAGCTTTGCGCCCCAGGTCTCTTCTCCCTTCAGAACACCCGCATTTTAACGGAAGAGTGTCTCCAGCATTTTTCATGGAATCCCTATCTGATTTGCTTTACCCACCCTGGAACCAACTATCCTGGATGTTCTGCCTCACAGAAAAGTAGGGGTTTGTTAAAACGGAAGAACTGAGCTGAGTTCAAAAGCCCTGCCCACCCCCAAGGAATCCACGTATTAACTTCTCCACACTCCAGCCCCCCCCATTCCTCCCGCAATGCCAGCTCACGCACCCTGCAGCGCCGCCAGGATTCCCACGATGCCCGTCCCAGCGCCCAATTCGATCACCTTCTTGCCTCGAAAATCCACATTCTGACTCTCGAAATAGCTACACAGGCTCAGAGCCTACGAGGGGAAGGAAAGGAAGAGAGAGGGACGCTGTCACGGCTCCATATGGGAGAGGCGGGGTCCGGGGACTGGACCTCTCAGGGACCCTCACTTAGGGCAGCCCCTTCCTCACCGCATCCCACACGCGTGCCGCCACCCCAAGGCGCGACCCAAAGTTTTGCGTGATGCTCAGCTCGTGCCCACAGAAGCAGAACCGGCTGCTCTCCGAGTAAAAGTCGGTGAAGAGCCGGACCTCGCGTGGGAACACGGATTCGGGCTCGGGTTCAGGATCTGGGCGGGAGCTGGCCATCCGGCAGAGAGAGCACCCCCGAGCACCTCGGCCAGCGCTGGGATCCGAGTCCCTCCCTGGCTGCGTTGAGGCTGGGGACTGCCAGCCATATGGGCTGCTCCCAGGCACCGGGCCCCGCCTCCCCAGTTCGCCCTCCTTCCTCCAGCTGGACTTCCTGGAGATGGACGGGGAACGACCCCCGAGCTCGGGTCCACTGGCGCACGCAGAACAGGACCCACGCAGCGCCACACGGGTCAGACCCGGCTGCCTTGGTTTGAGACCACCAGGAGAGAGAAGAAAGGATGCTTGGTGCGACTTGTCAGAGGCGGGTCCCTCCCAGCGCGCTCACCTGTGGGGCGCACAGGTGCCTGTGGGCACTGGGGAGCTCAGACTCAAGCAGAAGCACGCCAAAGAGGAAAGGCGGGGTGCCTGGAGCTGGCCTTCCCGCCAGCTGAGAGACGAGCAGCGCGCTTGCTCTCCATCCCCCGCGCCCGCTCCCTTCGGGGTCCTCCCATCGCCGGGGCAGCGGAATTGGTCCTCGGTGCTTTAAGGGGCGGGGCCTGCTGGCGGCCCGCGGGCCGCGTCATCAACCTGCGCCCGCGGCCCCGGCTCTCCACGTGGACTCCGTGGCATCATGGCGGGAGCCGAGGCCCCCCAGCCGCAGAAGCGCTATTACCGGCAGCGCGCGCACTCCAACCCCATGGCGGACCACACGCTGTGCTAGTGAGCGAGCCGGGCGGGGGCCGGGCGGGCGGGCGGGAGCCGCAGGCAGCCCGGGACGGCAGCGCGGGGGCTGGAGACGGACGGACCCGGGAGCATGGTCCGGATGACACGTCAGTTGAGGATGCGTTAGGGAGACTCGGCGGAAGGCGGAGTTGGCCGGCCCGGGAGGGGTCGTGGTGTTGTGGATCGAGTCTGGGTGAACTTGCCAACCAAGTCTGAGAAGAGAAAAAGGAAAGAAAATATTGCTGGAACTAAAATGAAGAAACAAGTTGTCATGTCCATCTTCCGACTTTTTTTTTATTTTTATTTTTATTTTTTTTTGAGACAGGGTTTCTCTTTTTAACAGCCCTGGCTGTCCTGGCACTCGCTCTGTAGACCAGACTGTCCTCGAATTCACAGAGATCCACCCGCCTCTGCCTCCTGAGTGCTGGGATTAAACGCGTGCGCCACCACTGCCGGGCTCCGATTTGCTTTTATTTATTTATAAAAAGATAAACATACACACACTCCTTGCTTCATCCTCTCCACAGAAAACACATAAACAGAGTAGTGTTCCAATGCCTTAGGCAGTCAGTCAGTCTCTGGGAAAAAGAACCTTGAGTCCCAGAAGGGAGAGCTCCCAGACACGTCAATACCCAGAAGTAGAGACCGGCACGTCAGCAATCGCAGCCTCGCGAAGGAACTGTGATTGACACCCTGGGAGCCAGGGGACTTTCCACTATGCCTTCTAGATACCACATGGCCCATGACTGTAGATTTTTTGCGAAATCTACCACCCCGCCTTCCATGCCTACAGAAGCACGTCTGCAATGGTGTGTCCAACAGTCTCATATGTCTCCTGTCTTCTTTCCAATAGCCCTGTGAAGCCAGAGGAGATGGACTGGTCTGAGCTTTACCCAGAGTTCTTTGCTCCGCTAACTCAAAATAAGAGCCATGATGATCCAAAGGATAAGAAAGACCAGCAGTCCGGGACCCAAGTGGAGTTTGCAGACATAGGCTGTGGCTATGGCGGTTTGTTAGGTAACTCGATGGCCCTTTCCCGGGGACAAGGAGAGGCCTGGGTTCTGCCGTCTCAGCAGGTTAGAGGCAGGGTTAATTGACCTTTCCTCCTGCCACCAGACAGCAATGACATCAGTGTGCAGGGCCTCCATCTCCCTTCTCCTCTGGGTCTGTGGCCTTCGCCCTGGAGAAGGGAGGGGGCCGCCTCAAATGTGTCTTAGAAGCTGGGTTGTTCTGTCTGGCTCCAGTCCCTGCATGAGCCGTATCACCTGCCCTGTGCTGGGTCAGTGAGCTGGTCAGCACAAGCGTCAGAGATCAGCTACTGTGGCCACTGATCCTGAACCGTCTTTCTCGGGGATTCCACCAGCTTCCCCCTCCTACCCCCGTCCTCACCAGAACATATTCTGCTCCGCTCTTTCATGTTTTGGGGTTCCTGTTATATTGTCTTTGTTTTCCAGAGCATGTATGCCAAACCACTCGCCCCGTAGACAGATAACAGTATAAGAGAGAGGAAGAGTGTGGTAGAGACTGGAAATGTTGCCTTATGTCCGAGCTTTCTCCTGCTTTAAATCTATGATCTTGAGCATTTCTGACCCTCAGTTTCCCAACCTTCACAGTCTACCAGAGAGTGTGAAAAGGATTAAATAAGACTTTGTCATGGAAACTCTAAAGCAGTGGTTCTCAACCTGTGGGTCATCACTCTTTGGGGGGTAACATATCAGACATTTACATTACGACTCATAACAGTAGCAAAATTACAGTTATGAAGTGGCAGTGAAGTATTTTTATGGTTGGGGGTCAACACCATGAGGAACCGTATTAAAGGGGCGCGGCATCGGGAAAGTTGAGGACCACTGCTCTAAAGCAAATGTAAACTGTAGCTTCTGCCCTTTTATTCTAGTCTATATGACAGATCTTTTTTTGTTGATTTTATTTTATTTTTTGAGACAAGGTCTCGCTATGTAGCCCTGTCTGGTCTGGAACTTGCTGTATAGAGCAGGCTGGCTTTGAACTCACAGAGATCCTGCCTGCCTCTGTCCCCCTTCCCCTATTTCCAAAGCTTAGGATTAAAGGCATGAGCCGCCACACCCTGCTCCCATGACAGCGTGACAGTTTTGTGTCTTCTCTGTTCTCTGCAGAGAACTCTAGGGAGTGGGCATCTCTGCCTTACTCCTAACTTAGACATCCACAGACAGAAACTGTCTTTCTTGGGTTAACCTCTTTGTACTTCCTTAAATCTGGCACCACGACCCCATCGCTGTCTCTGTCCTCAGTGGCGCTGTCACCGCTCTTCCCAAACACCCTGATCCTGGGTCTGGAGATCCGGGTAAAGGTGTCAGACTACGTGCAAGACAGGATTCGGGCTCTCCGTGCGAATCCCGGAGGTGGATTCCAGAACATCGCCTGTCTGCGCAGTAATGCCATGAAGCACCTTCCCAACTTCTTCCGAAAGGGCCAGGTGCGGCCTGAGGAGCTGCCCGGGTGGGGGTGGGGATGGGGGATGGTGGAACATGGCAACCAGGCGCTCACGAGCCCTCCTGTTGGTCGGTCGACCCCACAGCTGAAGAAGATGTTCTTCCTCTTCCCCGACCCGCATTTTAAGCGAACAAAGCATAAATGGCGAATCATCAGCACCACGCTCCTAGCGGAATATGCCTACGTGCTGCGAGTTGGGGTGAGCTGGGAGGGAAGATGGTGCCAGTGGCCTGCCCAGGGGATCTTCACCAAGAATTGATGGGGGGCACATTAGGCACTCATGCCATCACACTCATGCTCTGCTGCTCAGTCGTGTGCCGCCTGTATCTAGAACGATGTTGCCTACACAGGGCCTGGTGTACACCGTCACCGATGTGCTGGAACTGCACCAGTGGATGTGTGCCCATTTCGAAGAGCACCCACTGTTTGAGCGTGTGTCTCTGGAAGAGCTAGTAAGTGAGATGCCCCAGGGAAGTTGTAAGAATCCAGCCCTATTCAGAGTGGTCCCATAGTCCTTGACCTTAGCTTAGGGCCAGGAAAATGGGAGTCTAGAGACCCAGGACAGTGTGAAAGGTGGGCAGGGAGGGACATGCCGGACTCTCTTTCTGCAGAGTGAAGATCCCATCGTGGAACATCTAGGCACGTCAACTGAGGAAGGAAAGAAAGTTCTACGCAATGGAGGAAAGAATTTCCCAGCCATCTTCCGAAGAGTACAGGACCCCATCCTCCAGGGGGTGACCCCCAACCCCACGCTGCCTGACCACTGACTTCTTACCCTGCCTTAGCTGGACTCGCTCTACTAGTGACTGGAAGAAAGATCAGCTCCCCATTCCAGGCCTTCCGAGACTGGTGGGGCAGAGGCCACGATCTCTCTCTGAGACAGTGCAGCCTGCCTTCTTACCCGTCACTGACTTACTGCTTTCTTGCCCCTCCACTGTCAGAAGAAAGCAAAAGAAGCTGACTGAGAAGGTCAGAGGACCTTGGACCAGAGGGTATATTTGGAGGGGTGTGGGGATTTGTTCTCCCTCAGCAGCCGGAGTGAAGAGTGCAGTGACCCACTGCCTAAGCTCTGGGTTTGGCTCGGTTCCCCCCCCCCCAGTTATGTTTACTTTACAGTCATGGGGATAATGTGTGTGCCCACGTGCCCACGCTGCTCTTCCCAGGAAGGCGAGTGTGTATCACATGCCTCCTCCCATCTTCTCCCTGTGTACGATCTGACCTGGACCATCTGGGCTGCCACCATTGTACCTGACCCTGTAGTGCTGAGGGCAAGAGGGCAGACACCCTTGCCTTTACCATGTTGACCTTTGATTCCAGAATCTCCAAGCTGACTGACTGGCATAGTGCTTGATGGGGAAGGGGAGGGAGGGAGGAGGGGGAAAGGCAAAGGAGCAGGGAGCTAAACTGCAGTATTGTTTTTTAATTATTTTTATTTTATGAGTATTTGCCTCCGTATGGGTATGTGCTCCACACTCGTACCTGAGCCCTTGGAGGCCAGAAAAGGGAATTGGTTCCCTGGAACTGGAGTTACAGATGGTTGTGAGCTGCCATGTGGGTGCTGGGAACCAAACCCTGCTCCTCTGTAAGAGCAGCCAGTGCTCTTAACCACTGAGCCATCTCTCCAGCCCTTGAACTGGAGGATTCTGTGGCTCAAAGCAGTAAGTGGCTGCTGACCACAAAGGTACCCAAAAGAGGTTGAGTCAGCTTGGGGTTCAGAGTGTGTGCTTGACCTTCATTCTGTCCAAAGACAGAATCTCCAAACTTACATACTTTGCAAAAAAGTAAAAACAAAAAAACCTCCTTTGTATTATTATTATTATTATTATTATTATTATTATTATTATTATTATTATTGGTTTTTCCAGACAGGGTTTCTCTGTGTAGCCCTGGCTGTCCTGGAACTCTCTCTGTAGACCAGGTTGGCCTCAAACTCAGAGATCCGCCTGCCTCTGCCTCCCGAGTGCTGGGATTAAAGGTGTGCACAAGCATATCTATAATGGTAAGAGCACAATGTAATGGAGTCAGTTCTCATTTTTTACCTTGTCGGTCCCTGGGATCAAACTCAGATCATCAGGCTTGGTGTCAAGTACATTTACTTACTGAGCCATCTTGCTGGCCCTAAGACACTCTGAAAGGAAGGGGCTTGTTGAGCTAAGAAATTCCCTTTCCCAAAAAACAAAGATGGAGTCTGGAGAGATGGCTCAGTGGATAAGAGCACTCTTCAGAAGACCCGAAACGAATTCCCAGCACCCAAGGTGGGTGGCTCACAACTATTTGTAACTCCAGTTCCAGGAGACCTGTGTCCTCTCCTGGATTCTGGGCAGCTGCACTCTTGTGCACACATGCACTCGCACAAACACACCAACGTGCATGTGCATGGTTTAAAAATCTTTAAAAAAAGGCAGGGGTGGGGATTGGAGCTATGACTCAATGGTTAAGAGCACTTGTTGCTCTTGTAGAGAACCTGGGCTCAGTTCCCAGCACTCACCAGTTGGCTCACAACCATCCATAATTCCAGTTCCAGGGGATCCAACTCCCTCCTCTAACTTCCGCTGACCCCAGAAAGATGCTACACAAGCATACGGGCAAATCATGTACGTAAAAAAACATATAAAATACAAAAAAAAAAAATGATGAAGGTAGCTGGTACTGTTTTAACCCGTTCACCCACGTGTGGTCTTGCCTCTGCATGTTAGGCAAAGGAGGAGAGTTGTGTCCAGTGCTGGTAATCCCCACAACAGAGAAGGGGCAAGCCAAGGAGCCAAGAGTATGGGGACAGCTGAAACTACCTTCTACCTAGTTTCCATTCAGGGTATGATAGAGAATGGAGGACTGGACCTGAGGAGACTTAGCTCCCCAGAGAAGTGATGAGGATATGAGGTACTGCCTTCTGAAATCCATCCTAAGTAGCCTTTCCCAGAAGAGAACTTTAGGCTGCTGCCTCTGGACCAGACAAAGGAGCTCTGATAGGAATCATTACCACAGGAGACCCAAAAGCCAGGGAGTCAGCCCTAGCCCCGCCCACTGTTCGTGGGTGCCATACCCCATCCAGCACAGACCACCCGGCAAAAGGGATTGGCTGAAGAGCTGAAGAGAGGCAGGCGTCTTCACTTCCAGGGCCAAGGGTTATAAAGGGGTTCAGGCAAGTGCGAAAGATGCTCTGGAGAAGTGCCGCTGACTCCCCGAACATAAGACATGACCCAGGCAGTTAAGCTCGCCTCCAGGGTGCTCCATGGAGTCCACCGGCCTCCACAGCTGGATGCCGCCTCCTCCTCGCTGACCTCCAGAGGCTCTGACTCAGTTCTCCGGAGTTTGTCTGACATCCCTGGGCCCTCTATGCCTAGCTTCCTGGCAGAACTTTTCTGCAAAAGTGGGCTGTCCAGGCTACATGAACTGCAGGTAAGAGAGATAGTCCTCGCCATTGGTGGGACTGAGCTGGGAGGACTGGCAGAAAGGACCACAGTGAAGAACACAGAAAGGAGAGCCAGTGAGAATGGGTACCTGTGGGTAATGAACTAGAGACTGGTTTACTACCCCTGCATCCGGCAAAGGGATGCACTCTCACTTTATAGACAGGAAACCCTGCAGATCCAGGACAACAGTGCGGGAGGAGTGAGAGCATTGTGCTACCCTGCAGATCCGGCTTAAAGCTCCGTCCGTTCCTTTTCTTTTCCTGGAGGCTCGTCTTGAGGTGCAATCTAGCAGAGGAGCCTCGAAGAAACGGCTCCCCCTAGGCTAGAGCCAGATAACTAAAAGGAAGTCCTAAATGTCTGCTTTATGCAGAGCAAAATCTGTTTTGCTATTCCCGCTCAAACTTTCATGGGGTGGAAGGAAAAGTTTGCCGCATCTGGGCCGGCCCTGGAAAAGCTCCCTTTAACCAAGCCTAGCCACCGCCCTTGGCCTTGTCACAAGCCAAACTGAGAGCCACCCTCCCAGGTGTTCAGACGTCCTCTTCGCGGGTCCTCAGGTGCAGGGAGCTGCGCGCTACGGGCCAATATGGTCAGGCAGCTTCGGCGCACTTCGCACAGTGTATGTGGCCTCCCCTGCGCTCGTGGAGCAGCTGCTGCGGCAAGAGAGTCCCTGTCCAGAGCGCTGCAGCTTCTCATCTTGGGCAGAGCACCGCCGCCGCTACCAGCGGGCTCCAGGATTGCTAACAGCGTGAGTCGACCCCCTGACCTCCAGTCCTCCATCCATCCCTGCCCGACTCCTGTATCCAGCCAAGTTGGGCTTGGAGGGAGGTCGGCCGTTCCCACCAACCTTCTGGCATCTCCGGGTTCTCCAGTCTGTGCTATCCAAACTCAGGTAGAGCCGAGTCCTCGCCCGCTCGCCCCACCTTTGAGGCTAGAATCCTAAGAATCCGTGGGGTAGGTGAGGGTTAGTGGCATCTGGATGGCGTGTAAGCATCTGTGACTCCGCTTACCCTAGAACCCACTCCCACCCATGGGCAGGAAATGAGTAAAGAGGAAGGGAGATGGAAGATGGGCGAGGTCAGGGGCAGGTTCTTCCACCCCGAGGGAACAGGCGCAATACCCTCTGGTTACCCTGGCGTCCTCCACACACGCTCACCTCCCTGATGGCGCCCTCTCTGCACCCGGGCAGGGATGGGGAAGAGTGGCAGAGACTCCGAAGCCTTCTGGCCCCGCTACTCCTCCGGCCTCAAGCAGCCGCTGGCTACGCTGCAACTCTGGACAACGTGGTCCGTGACCTTGTGCGACGACTCAGGCGCCAGCGGGGACGTGGCTCTGGGCTGCCCACCCTCGTTCAGGACGTGGCGGGAGAGTTTTACAAATTTGGCTTAGAAGGTGAATCCTAAAACGGAGTTCGGGACAGGTGTGGGTGGCTCTGAGCCCGAGACGCCCGATGCCTGACTGCGCCCCCTTCCGGCCAGGCATAGGCGCGGTGCTGCTGGGTTCGCGTCTCGGCTGCTTGGAGGCCGAAGTACCTGCGGACACCGAGACCTTCATCCACGCGGTGGGCTCGGTGTTTGTGTCCACACTCTTGACCATGGCAATGCCCAACTGGATGCACCGCCTTGTACCCGGACCCTGGGCCCGCCTCTGCCGAGACTGGAACCAGATGTTTGCCTTTGGTAAGGCATAGAAGTGTGGGGGTGAGGGGTGAGGGGTAGGGGTGTGGAGGGGGCGGTGCTGGGGTATCCAAAGCTGCATCAGCATCGTGAGGCGTCGGTGTGCCTTCCTCCTCAGCCCAGAAGCACGTGGAGCAGCGAGAAAGCGAAGCAGACGTGAGGAAACAGGGGAAGACTGAGGAGGACGTGCCGTCTGGGCATCACTTAACCCACTTCCTGTTTCGGGAGAAGTTGTCTGTCCAGTCCATTGTGGGGAACGTGACAGAGCTACTGCTGGCCGGAGTGGACACGGTGAGGTTCTCTCTAGTCCCATTTCCAGAGTGTAGGTTCCCCTGGCTCTAGGGCCACTTTTCTGACTCAGGGGACCCACTCTGGGCATGCGTACAGGCTTGGCCTTGGTAGTTCTTCGGTCCCTGACCACCACCTCCCTACACTACTCCCTCACCAGGATTCCCACGTCTGACACCTCAGACGATCTCACCTGTCCCTCCAGGTATCCAATACGCTCTCCTGGGCGCTCTATGAGCTCTCCCGGCACCCCGATGTCCAGTCTGCGCTTCACTCTGAGATCACAGCTGCTGTGGACCCTGGCTCCCCTGCCCACCCCCAAGCCGCTGTTTTGTCCCAGCTTCGCCTGTTGAAGGCTGTGATCAAGGAGGTGTTAAGGTGAGGGGGAAGGGAAGACAAGTAGGAACTAGAGAAAACACTAGAGGAGAGCGGAGGAAGCTGACCGTGGATGGGAGCGGACAGTGAGAAGAGAGAAAACTGGCACTCTGCTCCCCGAGGAGGAGGAGCTGTGTCCCCCCAGCCTCACCTTGCTGAATCCATCTTTTGTTTGGTGACCTAGATTGTACCCTGTGGTGCCTGGGAATTCCCGTGTACCAGACAGAGACATCCGAGTAGGTGACTATATTATCCCCCAAAATGTGAGTAGATCCTTCTGCTAAGCCATTCCTTAACCCCCGTGGGCCCAAGCCATCCACAAACACTCCCCAAAGCCTTTCCAGACCCCCCCCCCCCCCCGATCAAGATACCTCTTTCTAAGATATAATGGAGTAGTAAAGAAAGTCCCTCACCACCAACCAGGGCCTAATTTTAAACTAGTCCACAGATCCTCTTCTTCATAGCCCCCCACTCCCGCATTCTCGGGCTCAAACTGATAACTGCTTTTGAGGGGAGGGGAGGGTATATAGCCGCTGTTGGCCTTGAACTGGCCTTCCTCCTGCTTCTGTTTCCTGAGGGCTAGCATTGCAAGTGTGGACACAAAACCTGGCCACTGAACTGACCAATCTGCATTTAACCCCCCACCAGACGCTGGTCTCACTCTGTCACTACGCCACTTCAAGGGACCCTGCGCAGTTCCCAGAGCCGAATTCTTTCAATCCAGCTCGCTGGCTAGGGAGAGGCCCAGCCCCCCACCCCTTTGCATCCCTTCCTTTTGGCTTTGGCAAACGCAGCTGCATCGGGCGCCGCCTGGCTGAGCTGGAGCTACAAATGGCCTTGGCCCAGGTCAGTAGTCCAGAACTTCTACCGTGCCCTGACTGGAAAGGCCCAGTCATCATGGGTGCTCTTGTCCTCTGCCAAACAGAGCAAAACATACACAACTTAGCAGACAGTCCCGCTGACAGAGGCCTGGAGTATAAGCAAAGATATTTGGACTACCGCTTTCCCTTCCATAACCTCCTGCCCTCCCTTGTTGATCAAGAAGGCTCTGTTTTTGTTTTGTTTTGTTTTGTTTTGTTTTGTTTTGTTTTGGAGACAGGGTTTCTCTGTGTAGTTTTGGTGCCTGTCCTGGAACTCACTCTGTAGACCAGGCTGGCCTCGAACTCACAGAGACCCGCCTGGCTCTGCCTCCCGAGTGCTGGGAGTAAAGGCATGCGCCACCACCACCCGGTTCAAGAAGGCCCGCACTGGCCACAGATGCCATCCCAACAGTTGTCATTCTGATGCTCACAACTCTAGACTCACCCATCATGATAACCTTCTTCTCCTGTTCTAGATCTTGATACATTTTGAGGTGCTGCCTGAGCCAGGTGCTCTCCCAATCAGACCCATGACCCGAACTGTCCTGGTACCCGAGAACATCAACCTACAGTTCGTAGACAGATAGTCCTACAGAAGGAAGCTGCTGTCATCCGCCCTCTCCTATGGGGACATTATTAGGCACAAGGGGCACACTTCCCCTTGAGGTCTGTCTGTCTGAACAAACTTCAGGAAGTAGGACCTGACCTATGTGTGAAGCATGTACTTGGCTTGACTCAGCGGGTCCTCACAGCACCGTGATCCTTTCTCCCGCTCAGTACTTCTCCTGGTCATTCCTCAAGGCCCAAAGCCATCAGATCTTAACACATCCTTAAAGGGCCTAATCAGATGTTAACTAATAACCCTGGGGGCCTCGGGAGGGATTCAGCCACCGGTCCTCCTGTGCTTACAGTGTTCACAGATGCCCTGTCTAAGCATTAACCTTAGCATGAGTTCTGTGATCGTGCATCTGGTGTGCGCCTGGTCGGGTCTCTTTCTAAGCGTGTGAGCTCTATGAGAAGAGTGGTGAAGCCTTCTCCGTCTGTTGGGATTTTCTCTTTCCTTTCCTTTTTTTTTTTTTTTTTGAGACAGAGTCTTGTTATATAGTTCTTGCTGTCCTTGAACTCACAACCCTCTTTACCTCACTTTCCCAAGTATTGGGGTTATAGACATGAACTACCACTTCCAGCTTTATCAGTCTTTATCCATCCCGTCAGGGTCTATCTCTGGCCATGCAGCACCACGTAGATTCTCGGATTGAATCTAGGCCTTGTGGAAGAAGGGAGAAGCCTCACCAGGCTCTGCCCACCCTTTTCTCTCTCTTCAGCTTGACCCTAGGAAAATGAATCTGCCCTAGCCTAGTTTACGGTATTTTTTTTAAGCTCCCCTTAGCTCTAAAGTGAGTCTGCTTCACGTCTTACTTCCCATCTTTTGGTTTTGCCCCATAACCCTAGCCTGTCTTCTTTTTTATATTGAAAAAACATTTATATTATTAAGTTTTAAAATAAAATGTCTACTCCTTGGCTTTGGGTTTACTTTTCTCCCACTCCTGGCAAGATCCTGACCCCCATCTCCCACCTTGGCTTCTCAGGTCCTGGAAATAACTCCCTTAACGGTGGGAGGTCTGGATCGTCCCTCTGGAAGAGTGTTTCATGACGAACCCAGACATGTTTCTATCTGTAATGGGAACCGCCAAGTCTAGTCTAGCTTCCTGGAAAGGATTAAGAGGTAGTGGTGAACAGTAAGGGTAGGAGCTCAGTTGTAACGTGGGTCTGGGTGCTAAGGGTTCTGCTGAGCTGGGTTAGAGGCGGCTTGACCCTTGGTGAGAAAAGAGCTTTTGGGACTCGGACTACCAGAATGGAAGGGCATCCTGGAATGTCCACTCTGCCCTCCTTCAAAGACAGGGACACAGGCAGGGAGATGGAGTCAGTCAGGCTGGATGAAAGCAGACGGTGAAGGGGCCAGGAGCCCTGGAGGACTGAGGCAGGAGAAGGGGGCCAGGAGCCCTGGAGGACTGAGGCAGGAGAAGGGGGCCAGGAGCCCTGGAGGATTGAGGCAGAAGGGGCCAGGCCAAGAGAACCTCTGTTTCCCTGAGTCAGCACTCTCTGGCCACCCTCATGGGCTGCACACAGTACTCCCCTTGTGATGTCTACAGATGAACTCATCCTCCGTCCCAATGAATCTCTCAGCACTGTGCACAGCTCCCCCTGTACCCCAGATTACCCTCCCCATGCTAGGGCTTGCCTCTCCCTCCTTCCCTCCCTCTCACTCCAATTAGCTCCTTCACACTTCCTTTGCCCCATCCAAGACATGGCTCCCTAACCACAGAAACTGTCAGCCAGCAGACTTCCCACAGAGACCCAATCATGCATGATTTAGAGAAGCAGGGCATGCATGCCTGGAAGCCGTGTGCAGAGACCGAGGTTTCTGTACATTCCTTACCGCCCCTCCCATCTCTCCTGTGCCCTCGGTATCTGCTTCTACTCACCCACCACCAAGTTTAACTTGAACGTAAAATACCCGCGATTTTGCAGATCGGAGCCAGATGGAGAGTATAGCCTAAGTTATGAGACCCATTTCCCTGGAGTCAAAAAGGAATCTACACCCCTGTGTTGCTCAGTGACTAGACAGAAATGCCACTTTGAAGAGACAGCAGTGCCTATGACCCCTTTCCTGGACAAGGGTCTGTGTAAATTCGGAGACAGGCAAGAGATACACATGGGCCCCATCCCAAGACCTCTGTTGGTGTTGAAGGAGAGAAGGAAGTGGGCCTCTGGGACTCAGAGAGCGCATGGATATATGTGTGTGTGTTCTTAAGTATGCCCAAGCTTCCATGAAGGGCCGCCGTGAGGAACAGGCTTGGCCCAGAAGCCCCATGTGTGTCTTATCTACCTGAGTCCTTTCTGCCAGGACAGATATTAGCAATCACTGATTTTCTGCTCCACATCCGATCACCACCAACTCTTCTGTTAACGACCAATCAATAAAGCCGAACCCCTCTGTCCCCTGGTGGGAGGAAATAGAGGGGTGAGTCTCTGGTAAAAATTTCCTGAGAGAGAGCTGGAGAGCTCTGCCTGGGTTCCCTCTTCACCCCGATCCTATCAGGACCTTCTCACTTGGAAGTCCGTCAGACCCCCGGCGCAGCCAAATGATGCCAGCACCACCAAATGATGCCAGCACCATGGACAGCAGCCAAAGGCCCTCCCACCCCACCTTTTTTTCTGGAGAGGCATGGAGCAAGGCTTTGGGGTAGGTGGGCTGTTAAAAGACAAGCATTTTTTTCCAACCTTTCCCAAGAGGGGGCAGAGCAGAACCTTCCATTAGAGGTCCAGTAATAAGAAAGGCCTCTGGATCTGACTTTAGCAATGTATGAAGGAATTTTTTAATTGCTCATGAATGGTTCACTTAAAAGACACCATCATCCATATAATACCCAGCCACCGGGCTTCAGGAGAAAGGGACCAAGCTTCAAGCTGACCACATAATTTTTCTGGTGGTATGGGAGTTACACCCAGGACCTCATGCACACCAGGCAAGCACTCTTATCACTGACCCACACCCCCAGCCCTCGGACCCACATTTCCCAAATCGCTTCTCTAATAAACAACAGCTCTCCTATGCTTCTACCTTCCAGAATTACCGCTAGCTGGGCACACCTGGATCAAACCTGTGACCCTGACCTGCCACAGTTTCAACAGGAATTAAAGACACAACACCGAGGGAGGAGTTTCCTTCCCTGTCACGCAAAATGAGTCCATGTCCATTGCACACCATTTTTTTTGGGGGGGGGGGGAGACACAGGACCTGGAAAGGACTGATAGAACACAGGTGTTCTTAGAGCAGGCTGAGTGGCTCCAGCGTCCCCCCACAACCAATGTTTGGAGGGTCAAAAGTGTTCTCATTCCTACAATAACCACTGTCCTGCACAGTTACTGTATCTATTTCCTCTTTTGTTTCAGTATCTATTTTGTCACTCAAAACGCTACTAAAGTTCTGTGCCGCTTCTGACAAAAACCAGACTTTGGGATCCGCTATCCCACCTATTGCTTGAGATAAGTGGACCAGCAACTAGTCCAGAACTCTTTTTATACCACGATCAATTTTCTTTGTAATAGCATTTAACCCGTCCCTCAATATCCTCTTTCCAAGTCTATGAGGTAGACAGGAAAAAAAAAAAAGAAAAAAAGCTCAGATTTTTTTTTTTCTAAATCATATAACTCACAGGTGGCAAGTCCACCGTCCTCAGCTCCCTCTGAGCACTGCCACCTAGCAGCCAATGTGAACTATTCACCAGCAAGCAGGAGCCCCTCCACCAGCTCCAAATGCGCTGCTACACTTGGGACTGTCACCTGTGCTGGGGAACCGCCCTGCACCCTCCAGCCCTTCAGAGAAGCCCCAGATGAGAAAGGAGTCTCCACGTGCATATAAATGATTCTTTATGCCCTCCCCCATGCAATGGGGGGTGGAGCAGGGGGGAAGTCCCCCGCCCTCATGCAGGGAACGGGAGGTCAATGTTTACGAGTCTTATTGCCAGACGCCCTGTGGCCATGGGGTGGGGAATGGGGGTCTACAGCCCCTGTTCTTCTGGCACTGGTCTCCCTTTACCAAGTCACCATGGTGGAGCCAGGGGACTGGAGGCCCTAGAGCTGAGGTAAAGATGGTTCTCTCCAAGAAGGCAAGCTGTTCTCCCCGCCTGCCTGCTGGCCATCCTCAGGATGAGTATGAGGTGGTGTCAGTGGGAGCTGGAATGTCATCCAGGTGTCTCTACCCTGTGGGCAGTAGAGGCCAGACAATGTCTCCAACCTTGAGGCTGTCTTGTCCACAGAGATCCTCAGTGGTGGGGCCACTGTGCCCCACACGCCTTGTCTAGGTCATCACCTCCAGCAGCCAGGAGAGCTCGTCTCCGGCTGACGCTCTGACTTGAGATCCCTGCCCCTGGAGTCCAGGTCAGACCGTGGTGACCCTCATGACAACCTCTCGACCAGAATGAGAGCTGGAACGGGCATCCGGTGGCCGTAGCTGTCCGAGGAGATGCAGGATTGTATAACCACAGCGCTGAGGCAAGAGCGTCCGCATGCGCTGGGCGGCTGGAGGCCGGCTGGGGGCCCCGGCAGGGGGGCTGGTCCGTGAGGTCCTGGGGCCTGGCTTCCCTGCCGTCCCTCCCCCTGCATCTCCTCCTGTGTCCTTGGTCTTGTCATAATTCAGGACCTTCCACTGCTGGTTCACTGCCTGCCAGCGCTTGAAGATGCGGTAGACGGAAGAGCCTTCGTGAACGATGAGGCCTGGACAACGGCGATGAGGAAACTGGGGTGAACTGCTGCCCGCACATAGGCCACAGGCCCTTGAGCATGCAGGACCGGGAACACAGGGCTGTGAAGGATGGGGCCCCAGGGTAGCCCTAACGGTCTCTAGCGGTGTAATTATGATCGTGAGACCGAAAGGCTGTGCAGGGGAGTTAGGTGAGTGATTAAAGGAAGATGTTAAACAGGTAGGGGAGAGGGGAGCCCTCACCTATGCAGACCACATCCATGAAGCCGTACATGCCGTAACAGATCTGGAAGAGAAGATCCTGGCGCTGCCACTTGGCTGAAGGGCTGAGTGAGGACCAGATGAGCCAGGAGATGCTGGCGACCAGGAACAGGGAGCCCAGAACGATGGCGGCAATCTGGACCTTCTCGATGACGGTCAGGGAGATGGCCTGCCACTGTTTGGGAGGATGATAGTCAGTGGGGTGGTGGGCAACCCTGAAGAGAAGACTCCAGAAGCCTTCCCTAAACTCTTCAGGCGGGACTGAAAATCTGCCTTCTCCATGCCCAGGGCTAACCTAAGATGAGACACTGACGCCACTTGTCTAGCTCATTCTAGAAAGGTAGGATTGGACAAGCGCTTTGAAACCCAAACACACCGCTTTGGAACTCCAATCTTAGTTCCATCTCTAACTAGTTGAGTAATTTTAGACAAGTATTTAATCTCTACGTGGGTCAGTGCCCTTATTTATAAAGACAGGCATAATAATGGCACCTAGTCAAAAGAGTTAACATACAACAAGCGACATTCGCTGTCATCATCAACACTGTTCTAAGTTCTCTAGACTAGCGCCAGAACGTTAAGCTGGTGTCTTGGAATGCCATCATGGTGGGAGGAGGTGGCTTTGGGAAAAACCGTAAAGAAGATGAAATAGGCCTTTGCCCCCTTCTGGGTCCTCTCCCGGCACCTCACCTGCAGTGGGTTCTTGGTGCTGATCGCCAGGACCTGGTACTTGAAGTAGCAGAGTTCACAGCTCCAGGAGCCCCTCTCACTGATCCAGCGGATGAGGCAGGGCTGGTGTGTGCAGCGCACTGAGCCGTCACAGCGGCAAGGGCTCAGGAGCTCCCCCTGGGGGCAGAGAGGGCAGGGCCCCTGTCAGCCCTCCTCACCCGGACCCCCGCGGCCGGCCGCACTCCTGGGGAGGAGAGCTCTTACACCACTACATTGAAAAAACTCGGGGCTTTTTCACCCAGACGCTAAGACTGCAGGACGAAAGTAAGAAGTCAGAGCTCGAGAGAAACTTCTGCAACCCGAGGGATGAGATCTGGGGTGGGAGGGAAGCCCGTGCGCTCGCTCCCTTTCCTCGACACTGCAAAGGTGATTGAGGCGGCCTGAAGAGGCGACCTCTCCCTAGGATCTGGAGGGAGGGGAGAGCCAGGGCGGCTGGGCTATGCCACCCTCACCCACCCCACAGTACTTCCAGTTATACAGATCCGGTGCCAACCGGGATGGATAAAACCCATCGTGGCGTCCACACTAAGAAGGGGAGACATTCTGGGGGCAAGGGCGGAACTCGGTCGCTCCCCTTTAGTCAAGCTGCACGGGGACTGCCCTCTGCCACTATCCCGGGACAACTTTACCTATAAAATTAAACAAAGGAGGCTCTTTAGAATGAAGCGGGAAGTTGCGGGCTGGGAGAAGACCAGAGGGCATGCTGCGTGAGGTGAGGCAGGGTCCTGGGGCCGGGCCCCTGCCGTCGAGGTGCGAGCCAATGGGAACTCTCCCCTCGGGCCCACCTCGGAAAAGAATGGGTTCCCTGGGCTAAGGGCGACGACCCCAAGGTGAGGGGGGCAGGTGCCAACAGCTGTCTCTGAGCCTGGGTGACCGAGATCCTGAGCCCTCCCCGGGGGACAGCCCCACCCCATCCTGGGAGCCACCCCCCGGACCCGACCCGACCCCTACGCCCCCTGCCCCAATCTCCAGGCGTCTCCAGCCAGGGCCAAACCTCACCCCGCTCCCACTCGGGGTCCCGGGTCTCGCCCAGCTCCCCCAGGTCCCGCCCCCCCCTGCTCCGGTCTCGGCGGACACCCCAGGTGCGAGCCACCGCCACCGCCACCCCCCACCCACCCCTCCCCTGCCCAGCCAGGTAGGTTGCTCGGGCCTGACCTGCTCCGGGCCTTGGAAGCAGATCCTGCACTGGGGGGTTCGGAGCCCGCTGTCCAGGCTGCTGCTGAGCGACAGGGCGTCCAGCGCGCCCGGGGGCGGCGGCGGCGGCGGCGCGGGCGGCGGCGGGGGTCCGGCCCGCGGTTCCTTGTCGCCGGCCAGGCCCCGGGCCCGCGGCTCCGCCGACCCGTAGTACTCCTCCTCGTCGCCGTCGCCGTCCCGGGCGGAGCAGCCGGCGAAGGGCGCCCAGCCGCAGCCGCCTCCCCCGCCCCCCCGGGGCTGCGGCTCGGCCCGGGGCCGCCCCCCGCCCGTCAGCACCAGCAGCTTCAGCTCGTTCAGGAACATGCGGAGCCGAGACTTGAGCATCGTCCGGGCGCCGGGTGTGTTGGGGAGGCGGGGGGGGGGGGGGCGACGGGGTGGGGAGGGGTGGGGGTCCCGGGCGCCGGGGGGGGGGGAGGGGCGAGGACGAGGCCGGGAAGGGGGCGCGGGCGGGCGGGCGCGCGCCGGAGCGCCGGGACCGGGGCCGGGGTCTCCGCGGCCTGCAAGCGCCGCCGTTCACTGCTGCCACCACCGCCGCCGGGGCTCCAGGGCCGTCAGCCCGGGGACGGCAGGGTGGGCAGGCATGGCCCGGGCAGGGGCAGGGGCAGGGGGGCGGGGAAGGGGCTCAGGGTGCCGCGCCCCGCGGGTCGGGGTCCGGAGCCGGCCGGGCGCCGGGGCTTACGCGCCCCGGTCCTCCTGCGGCGGGGCCGCCCCCCATCGCCGTCCTCCCGGGCCCCAGTCCCGCTCCGACTACCCGGATCCGGCTGGGCTCGGCCCGTGCGCCCGGCGGTGGCAAATGGCGGCTCCTTCCGGCGGCGGCGGCGGCGGCGGTGGCGGCGGCGGCGGCGGCGGCGGCAGCGGAGACCCCCCCGGAGCGGCGGGCGGGCGGGGCGGGAGCCGGGGAGCCGGTGAGGGATGGAGGGAGGGGTGGGGCGGGGAGGGGGAGCGGAGGAGAAGGGGCCGCGGCTGCGCATCCCCGCCCTGCCCAGCACGAGCAGGTGTCCCCAGGGGCGGGGCGAGTGTGCGAGACAAGGGAGGAGGGAGAGAGGGAGGGGAGGGGAGGAGTGGCCAGCGGAGGGGAGTGTGGACCCCAGTGGAGGAATAGGTGTGTACGCGCGCGGGTGGGAGTGAGGCTGGAAGGTGAGTCGTCGTCGGAGGCTGCAGGTGTAGCGAGGCGCAGGGGTGTGTGCACAATGGGAGCGTGCAGAGGAGGAGCAGCTCGGCCAGGGGCTGGAGGTGTGCGGGAGCGGAGTGGGCAAGAGATGCACCCCTAGTAACACACAAAAGGTTGTAGAGGGGGCCGCCGGGTGCGGGACTGGGAGGTGGGGGTGTGCAGGAATGGAATCGGGTTGTGGGGGAAACAAGCGACTGATTCTAACGTGGGAAGGTGGTGAGTGAGCAGAAAAAGGGACGCCAGGCGATGGGCGTGTCCTTCTCCATTCCCCCTGCCCCTCAGCTCCACGACTATGAAGTGAACACCACCCATCCACGCTTAAATCTTTGTTTCAAGTTGACCCCTAGAGCTACTACCAGCCTATCCAATTTTTTTCCCCCAGCCTTATATTTACACCCTCTCTCTCAGCCTCTTTGTGAAGCTGAGGGATAAAGGATTCCCGGGAAACCCACTGGGTCAAAGACACTGAGAAAAAAATTAATTAGTAAAAGAGTAATTAACAGAGAAGGGAAGGAGGGAGCCAGTCGAACCGGGGACAGATTGCCAAATGAAGACTCCTCAATGGGAAGGGGTAGCAAAGGCAGGGATGTTTCTGCAAGACACCCGAGTGCTTTGGGTGGACGGATGAGGGAAGCAGGGGGAAAGTCTGTGAGCTAGCAGACAAAGAAGGGTGCTCTTCCTGTGAGGCCGGCAAGCTGCAGTGTGCTCACATGAGAGGGAAGATGAGGCAGGTAATACCTGCATTGGGAAAACCAAACCAAACCAACCAACACACAAAAAAGCAAAAATAAATAAATAAAGCCGGTTAGTGATGGCCTTTAATCCCAGCACTCTGGATGCAGAGGCGGGCAATCTCTGTCTGCTCCAGGCCAACCTGGTCTACCAAGTTCCACAACAGCCAGGGCTAAACAGTGAGACCCTGTCTGGCGGGGAGGGACAAAACAAAACAAAAAAACTGTGTTGGGAGTTTAATAAGCTCACAGACACTTAGCCTTTCAGAAAGCTAAAAACCCCAAACAGCCCTAGGAATGCAGCCAATGAAACACCCACCTCTCCATCCCCTTAGCCAATTTGGGCCCTGAGCTTTTTCTTACAGTCTCCTTGGCAGCAAGAAGCATCAGAGTGGCAGAAGAGGAAATTGTCCTGATGAGCCTTCCATTTCGTCCTCGATTTACGTTAATCTTTGAGTCTATGCTGTTACATTGACATTCAAATGTATATACACATATACATAGTGTATATATATACATATATATGTGTGTGTATATATATGTATATGTGTGTGTATATATATATCCACTCCCCACCCCCTTCTCAGACAAAGTTTGGTTGTGTAGTCCTGGCTAGCCCGGAACTCACTAAACAGATCAGGCTGGCCATCCACCTGCCTCTGCCTCCCAATCCCCTCCTGAGATTAAAGACATATTCCACCATGCCCCATCACTGTTACATTCTCTACCAGAAAAGAAGTTAAAATGGAATACATGGGCTGGGCGGTGGTGGCGCACACCTTTAATCCCAGCACTCAGGAGGCAGAGGCAGACGGATCTCTGTGAGTTACAGGCCAGCCTGGGCTACAAAGTGAGTTCCAGGACAGGCTCCAAAGCTACACAGAGAAACCCTGTTTCAAAAAACAAACAAACAAACAAACAAATAAATAAATAAAATGGAATACATGGCAAACTGGGTAATAAAATGGTTTCAGGCTGGGTGTGGTGACTCAGGTCTGGAATCCAAGTGTTTGGACTTCAGAGAGTTTGAGGCTAGCCTGGGCTACATGGCAAGACTGTGGAAAAGAAGATGACCACGAGCCGGGCAGTGGTGGTTCACACCTTTAATCCCAGAGGCAGGTGGATATCTGTGAGTTCGAGGCCAGCCTGGGCTACAGGAAAGGCGCCAAAGCTACACAGAGAAACTCTGTCTCAAAAAATCAAAAACCAAAAAAAAAAAAAAGTCAAAATAATGTATTTTTTTAAAAAAAGAAAGAGGAAGAGGACGATGAAGAAGAAGAAAAAAAAGGAGTAAAAGAAAGAAAAGAAATTGAGGACGGTGCATGCCGCTCACCGTACGTAGTATTGGTGAAATGCCGCAGCAGGATCAAGCATTCAGACATTGGAGGCTAGCCTCGCCACTTGTCTGTTTCAAGACCAACCTGGACTATATGAGACCTTGCCTCATTAAAACAAAATTCCACAAAAAGATAAATCAGAGCCAGAGTCGTCGCTCGTGTCTGTAAACACAGCATTTAGGAGGCCGAGGCACAAAGATCGCTGTGAGTTTGAGGCCACCCTCAGCTATACTGTCTCAAAATGATTTCAGAGTTTGGCGTCTGGGAGTATAGCGCAGTGATTGAACACGTGCTTACCACATAAGAAAACACTGACTCCAATCCCTAGCGCCAAAAAACAATTTTATTTTGAGACAGGGTTCCTCTATGTAGCCTAAGCTGTCCTGGAACTCACTCTGTAGCCCAGGCTGGCCTCGAACTCACAGAGATCCTCCTGCCTCTGCCTCCCGAGTGCTGGAATGAAAGGCGTGCGCCGCCACCACTGCCCGCCTAAAAAACAATTTAAAAATAGCTCTAGATTTTAGGCAGTTTCTCACAAATGCGTACATGGACCTTTATTCCCAAAGAGGTGGGAGACAATAAAGGAGTTGGAGCCCCTGAGACAACAAATGTCAACTCTATCTCTGTCTACCTAGATTCCTGTGCGCAGAGAGCACCTGGGAAATACTGTTCAGGGCAGTATAGCCCCAAGAAAGCTGCCGGGTGGTGGTGGTGCACGCCTTTAATCCCAGCACTCTGGAGGCAGAGGCAGGAGGATCTCTGTGAGTTCGAGGCCAGCCTGGGCTACAGAGTGAGATCCAGAAAAGGTGCAAAGCTACACAGAGAAACCCTGTCAGTCGGAAAAGAAAAAGAAAGCTGCACTGAAAATAAAAAAGCATGTGACTCCAAAGAGGAGTCGCAGGTTTGCAGAGCGACACAAGACATTCGTGGGCATTGTGGTGGTCTGAAGCGGTGTTGGTGACCACCCTCGGACGCGCTCACCCCTTTGTTCGTACGCACCATCACGCACCTATGTAACAGAATGCTTTTTAAGATCAAGCACCCTATTCCCAATAACTCCTTGCTGCTTTTCACATTCCCGGGGAGGTTTACGGGTTGGAAGTGTATGGGGGGGGGGGGCATTACATTGCCGCTCTTGCCATTACAGTGGCTGGCTGTTAATCTTTTCTTCCGTCCATCCTCGAATCCTAGTTTCCTGCTCTGATAGAAACCGACTGCTCCTTGGGTCCTAAGACACCCGCCTGCATGTACCATATCCTCATCATGGCTTTAAAGGGCGAATGACTGAGTCACCCAAACAGAACACATCGCATAACCAACGGGGAGGAAAAGCCCTCAGTAGCAGCACTGTGTTGAATGAGTGAGTAAAAACAAAGACGCACACCCGCATGTCGCTCCCCCGTGGCGGCGGGAGTGAAACGGTGACAGTCCCATCCCGGGTCGGGGGGTGGTGGTGTGGGGGGGGGGGAGGACGAACCAGGATCATCTCCCCCCAGCACCCCGACCTCCCCGCCCACGTACGGACAGACGTGCAGCGAGAGAAGATGCGCTCGGGCTGGGCCTTGAGCCCACGGTGGAGAGCCGGCGGGCCCGGTTGCCATGGCACCGCCGGGCGCTCCACCCTCTCCCGCCCCCCCCCCCCACCTCGGCCGTCCGTCCGGGGAACGGCAGCCGGTCACGTGCCGCCGCGCGGCGTAGCCACGCCCCCGCTGCCCAGCGCCGAGCGGAGGGGGTCACGTGGGATAGCAACAGGTCACGTGGTCGCCCCGATTTTTTTTTTTTTTTCCCCTCTCCTCTCTCTCTCTTTCCCGCCCCCCGCCCCCACTACACCCCTCCCCGCCGAGCCGGGGGGCCCCGGGTCAGCCACTGCGCATGGATGGATGGATGGATAGATGGATGGATGGATGGATGGATGGATGGATGGATGGATGGCGGTCACGTGGCCCCGAACGTCCGGCGCTCGCCCCGCCCCCGCCCCGCCCCCCCGGTTTCCGCGCGCCTCCCTGGCAGCTGGTCACATGGTGAGGGTGGGGGTGAGGGGGCCTCTCTAGCTCGCGGCCTGTGTCTATGGTCGGGCCCGTAGCGTCCAGCTGCCCGGGACCGATCCCCGGTGTATGGCGCCGCAGGCACCGGCTCCCGGGCCCAGATAAAGGGTCACCTCCGCAGCTCTCGGCCGGGCGTGAGGTGAGTGCAAGCCCCGGTCCCGGGATGGGGGCCAGTCCCCTGCCGCCACCACCCCCTGGGTCCCCTCGGGTGCGCGTCGCCGGCGTGGTTATGGAAGGGGTGGCCCCGGGGCGGGAAGTGGGGCCTTTGTGGTCGCGGGCCAGGGTGTGATTTTTTTAAGAGAATGCAGTGTGGGATCCTCGATGCAAACCCCGGTGCCTTGCATTGTGCGATCTTCTTTGTGCCCGGCGCGATGCCCTCCGGGAGAAAGGCATTCCTTTCTTTCCTCCCGGACACTCATCACGTGGCTGGAGGGCTCGGTGGAGTCTTTTGTGTTACCTGAGGCGCGGGGCTCTGCGAGCGTGCAGGGGATGGGCCGCTGTGTTCGTGCGGTCTCGGGGCAGGAATTCCTTTGTTAGTGCTGGGGCACCCCCTCCTCCCTGGGAAAGAGAGTTCAGTGTTCGAAGCCCTCTGTGATTGTAGGAGATCTCCTGCTCCGAGCATGATGGCTACCTCTCGATATGAACCAGTGGCTGAAATCGGTGTCGGTGCCTATGGGACGGTGTACAAGGCCCGAGATCCCCACAGCGGCCACTTTGTGGCCCTCAAGAGTGTGAGAGTTCCTAACGGAGGAGGAGCTGGAGGGGGCCTTCCCATCAGCACAGTTCGTGAGGTGGCCTTACTGAGGAGGTTGGAGGCCTTTGAACATCCCAATGTTGTACGGTGAGAAGGTTGGACTGGGTTGGGAGTGGGGACGGAAAAAGAGAAAGGATCTGTAAGTCAGGGGTGTGGTCAGGAGCGGGGCCCTGAGAGATCCAGAGGAGGTTGACCAGCTGGTGACCATTTATTTTTGTCAGGCTGATGGATGTCTGTGCTACTTCCCGAACTGACCGAGACATCAAGGTGACCCTGGTGTTTGAGCACATAGACCAGGACCTAAGGACATACTTGGAGAAAGCACCCCCACCGGGCTTGCCAGTTGAGACCATCAAGGTGAGTGGGGCGGACATTCAGAGGTGGATTGGGATCTTTGTAGCAGAACTTGGTGGGATTTTTGAGCATGTTACTAGGTTTCCAGTGTTTTGTGCTTTCTCCTTCAAAACCAGGATCTGATGAGGCAGTTTCTAAGCGGCCTCGATTTTCTTCACGCAAACTGCATTGTTCACCGAGACCTGAAACCGGAGAACATTCTGGTGACCAGTAACGGGACAGTCAAGCTGGCTGACTTTGGCCTCGCCAGAATCTACAGCTACCAGATGGCCCTCACGCCTGTGGTCAGTAGAAAGATGGCAGCCCAGCCCAAATAGTTTGGGATTGTGGGTGGGATTTGATTTCCCATGGTGACTGAGGGGTCTTGTTCTTGATGTTTTCAAAGCCACACGGCTATGATTCATGAGAAGGACCCTCACTCCTTTCTCCTCTTCTGTTTAGGTTGTTACACTCTGGTACAGAGCTCCTGAGGTTCTTCTGCAGTCTACCTATGCAACACCTGTGGACATGTGGAGCGTGGGCTGTATTTTTGCAGAGATGTTTCGTCGAAAGTACGTGACTTGAAATGCTTTGGTTTTGAGACAGGGTTTCTCTCTGTAGCCCTAGCTATCCTGGGACTCTCTCTGTCCTGCCTCTCTGCTCCTTAGTGCTGGGATTAAAGGCGTGTGCCAACACCACCACCCAGCTCAGGTCTTGGAACTTTTTTTTTTTTTTTTTTTGTTTTTCGAGACAGGGTTTCTCTGTGTAGCTTTGCGCCTTTCCTGGAACTCGCTTGGTAGCCCAGGCTGGCCTCAAACTCACAGAGATCCGCCTGGCTCTGCCTCCTGAGTGCTGGGATTAAAGGCGTGCGCCACCACCGCCTGGCTAAGGGTCTTGGAACTCTTAAGTTGCTCACTTCCCACAAATCTTTTATTTATGGTGATAGAGGTTGGAATCAGAACTGCACGTACACTGGGCAAATGCCCTAAACTACCAAACTTCACTCCCCACCCGAGTCTTTTATAAGATGTACCTTTCTTGATCATTCTTCTTGTACATATGGCGCTCCACCCCCAACCTACACTCACATGTGTTAGGCATGTACCCTGCCACCCAGCCATACTCCAGGCAAATCTCCTGAAATGTCTTGCGATTAGGAACTTCGCATTCCTTTACCCTCCAGCCTCTCTAGTCTGAGCCACTTCATGGTTACTGTCCTCCTGTTTTTGAAATAACATATACTTGGAATATTTTTCTACCGCAGGCCCCTCTTCTGTGGAAACTCTGAAGCCGACCAGTTGGGCAAAATCTTTGAGTAAGTATCCAGTGAGGAGGGAGGAAACTTCCCGTTCTGAATCGTTTCTGCCCAACTCCAGATGGCAACTGGCTGTAGCCCTGGAAATGAGAACTAAGGAAAGGCCCCCCTGACCAGAGCTGTCCTGTCCCCACAGTCTCATTGGCTTGCCTCCAGAAGAAGACTGGCCTCGAGAGGTGTCTCTGCCCCGAGGAGCCTTTTCCGCCAGAGAGCCTCGGCCAGTGCAGGCAGTGGTGCCGGAGATGGAGGAATCTGGAGCGGAGCTGCTGCTGGTACTGGGCATGGGCACGGGCCAAGGATTGGGTTAAGAAACAGCATGGGCTGGAGAGGTGGCTCCGTGGGTAGAGCTCTTACAGCATGAGTGTGCGGACCCGAGTTCGGATCCCCAGAACCCATGCAAAAGCTGTGTGTGGCGGCAAGCTCCTGTAGTACCACTCTCAGGGCAAGATGGGAGGTGGAGACAGAATCCCACAGGCCAGATACCCTGGTAAATACAGCACCAACGGCTCCCAAACAAGCTGGAAGGGAAGGACTGACAGACTGTCCTGACCTCTGTGGGCACTGACGTACGTGTGCATGCCCACATTTTCGTACATGAGCATGCACACACAAAGACAAAACAGAACAGGTGTTCAAGGCCCAGTCCGTTGTGGGACCAAGCTCTGGTTGGTGGAGGCTGTAGTTCTTGATGCTGCTGTGAATGTCAGCAGAGTAGGCTAAAGGAAACACCCTCACAGCTGTGTCGGGGTGGGCCTCACCCTCCCCAGCTGCTGCTGACCTTTGCCTCTCCCCTTAGGAGATGCTGACTTTTAACCCACATAAGCGGATCTCTGCCTTCCGAGCCCTGCAGCACTCTTACCTACACAAGGAAGAGAGTGACCCAGAGTGAGAAGAGCCGCGGCCTTTCCTCGCCTCTGGACACTTCGAGTGGCCAACACCTCAACCTCTGCCTTCCTCTGGGGCCGTGGAGACTCCTCCACTTTTTTACAGAGAATATTTTAAGCCTTAATGACATTCCCCCTCCTCTTCGTGAGGCCTGCCCTCTTACCCTCCCCTTTCTCTACACTAAAGGGTGGGTACCTGTCTCCTTCCCTCCCTCATTTATATTGGGATCTTTTTTATACAGCAAAACAAGACAAAGAAAAACGGCCTTCTTTTTTCTTTAATGTTTTCCTGGTTGGCTTTGCCTTTGGGAGACTGAAAGCCTGCTTGGAAGGTTCCCTGCAACATCTGTAGACCCTCACACAGGACCTAGACAGGCAGTTCAGCTCTTTGGCTGACAGGATGGGGAAGGCCCTTTCAATTCCTTTCTGAGTACTCAGTTAAAATGGCTTGAGTTTTAAGGTTGCTGCTTCCTTCCAGGTCCTGCCTTGACAAGACTTCTGGGTGAGGCTGGGACTGTAGTTCAGTTTGTCCTTGGAGCCAGGCTAGGGTGTCAGTCAGAAGGAGGGGAAAGAGTTATGAAAGGCTTCCAGCCCCTGTCCATGCGTCTAGGAGTATATTCTATTCTCTCAGGGAGAGGTATAAGGCTCTTCTTTCTATATCTTGTTCCATCAAAATATGTAAAGACAAAAATCTAACCATCACTTACTTGATCAGTTTTGGGAAATGAGGCACGGGGCCCTTTTTCTTTAAAACAAAAACCTGTTTGGGGGGGGCGCACCCTAGGCTTTCAAGAATTTAGGGAATTATAAAAAGCTGGGAGAGCAAAACCAAGTCAGATGGATCCAGAGACTTGAGTGTGATGACACACACCTGTAATCACACCACTTGGAGGCGGTGGCAGGGGGATCCAGAACTCAAGGTCATCCTTGGCTACATAGCCAGTTGGAAACCAGCCTAGGATTCAAAGATCCTCTCTGGAAGATCAAAAGTCTCATAGAAAGGCACTGGGGTTTGCTCGGGGGTCTTTCTGATTCCGGAACCTCATTGCCAGCCAAACACCAAGGATCTACAGCAAAGACAGAGAGAAAGTTATTTTTGAGTCTTCAGGCTTATGGGTGTCCACATGCAAGAAATGGGAATAATTACCTCTGTGAAGCTAAAGAAAAGGCCAACACCACCTAAGATTTTCAGGGCTTTGTCCGAATGTTTAAGGAACTTCTCACCACACAACTGGCACACAGAACTGGTCTTGCACATCTGAGGATGAATGGAATACACAATGCAAAGCTGCTAGTCTGCCCCATCCAAGTAGCTACAGTGGATGTCCCCAGAAATTACTAAGTGAACAGTTCTGAGGCTAGAGTCCCATGTGGCTAAACTCTTGCAGCCCCTGTTTCCTTAGCACAGCCCAGTTCAAGAGCGACAGTTCACTAAGGCCACGTGTTTGGGCATGGCCCTTAACCCATTTCCTCTAGCTGTGTGCTCCACCTTTCAACTTACTGCATCGCAGGAAGTATTGTCCTGTAGGTATGGCGCTGTAAGGTTGAACAAGCCACAGCAGTCAAAACTTCTCTCCAATTCATGCTGGGTACTGTTGCTCATGACCCACCAGGACGCATTGATGACATCTATCTAGAGCATACAGGCAGAGGAACGTCAGTCTCCCTACATCTTGCTCTCAGTTCACATGCTTCAATGCCTCTATTCTAGCAAGGGCAATCAGCATCCCACAGAAACAGGATGGCATGTCATGATCACAGACAATGTCAGGTGTCTCAGATTCTGACGACACCTTGGGGAATTAACTGTACACATCAGAGGAAACACCTCTGAAGTAGTAGACCTAAGGATGAAGGTACGAAAGGGTCAGATTATAGAAGTTTAAAGGTACCTGGAAAGGGCATCATCGCCTTACCTGTTTGTTTCGGTTAATAGCCAGACAGGAGCAAGAGATTCCAAACTGGAAGATGAAGACCAAACCAAGGATGATCATGTACTGAGAAGTTATGGCAAAAAGACCTGGTTTCCATTTGAGATATCTCACCCAGGGAGACAGGCAGGCAGGTCTCAGTGTGTGGGCCAGCCTGCTGTGACTTCCAAGCTAGCCCGGATTATGTAGCATGATCCCATTTTTTTTTGTTTGTTCTTAAGATCTCACCCAGTGTAATTTATAACTGTATTGTGGCAGAGTTCAAGGCCCTTCTCTGTTCATAAAACTAGTTTTAACAAGTTGAGAACAAAAACATCAACTTCTGTGAGTTACAGAAGAAGAACAAAGGCATGTCTGAGGTCCCCTGCCCTTTTGGGAAAAGCCTGCCCAGGGACTCCAACCCCTCCAGGTCAGGATACAAAGAACAGCAGCACTTGGTGGTGGTTAACGGCCCCAACGAGCCCAGCCACCGCGATGAGGAGGAGGAAGACCCCCACGGCGATGACTCCTCCGATGATGTGAATGCTGGACACCAGACCCAGGCCCTTGCCCCAGGCGGCCACGCCAATAAGCAGTAAGCCCACAAGCTGCAAGAAAACACAAAGTAGGATACCCTTCAGCCCAATGTGGTTAACATCTGTAATTTCTGCAACGGCAGCACAGCGAAGCTCCAGACTAGCCTGGGCTAGCTACATAGACCTTGTCATCGCCAAAGAACTCTAGCACGCAGCACAGCCAAAGGCTATTACCCGGAGACGTGGACTAAATAGGGTAACCCACGGAGGTGTGCTTTCAGAACGAGTCATCCCTGAGCGCTCTTCCCAAGAAACTGGGAATAGCTGGACTAGTGGGCCCATAGCAGTAGCGTCTCAAGATACAAACTCGTAGGGTTGTCCAGCATCTCTACTGTGGAAAGAAACTACAGCCTAAGTGAAGACTGGCTACAGGCCTGCGGTCTTCGACCCACCCCTCCCCACCACCAAACGATCCCCCCATGTCACCGGAAGTCTCTCCTCTTCCACGGAAGAAGGTTCTGGGAAGCTTCCCGGAACCCCCAGTAAACCCCTCTCCCACCGGAAGTCCCCTAGAAATTCTCCCCATTCTTTCCGCCCCGGAGCTTTCCCCACCTCCAAAACCTCACCATATAAACCACGTTGAGAGCGCACAGCGCATTCTTGGAACAGGCAAATCCTCCGCAAACCATCTCCCCAGTTCTGGGGACCCAAATGGTCCCAAGGACTTGAGGGGAGGGTATCGGGGACCGTCTTGTAGGACTCCCAACAGCTTCTATCGCTTTAAATCCAAGCCAGTCAAACCAAGTCTCTGCGCCTGCACCGTCCCACCCCTGTCTCCGGATTGGCGAAACTCGTGGCTAATCCAGGACATCTAGTATTTCAGTGCCAATCAATCTGCATTACGTCACCAGCCCGCCTCCCAGCCCTTCCCTCAGTTTCTTCATTGGACAAAACTTAAAAAAAAACTGAAGACTGGGTTTCTAGACAGTTTTTTAGGGATCAGAGCCTAAACTTCAAAAGCCTGGATTCCTGTGCTCCGAGTTGCGACATCAGGAATCTGAGGAGAGACTCAGGGGACTCAGGTGAACAGACAAGAAAGGGCTTGTAGAGATGGGGGGAAGGGGCTCCGCCCCTCCAAGGATAACCCTTCCCCGCCGTTTTCCCCGTGTTTCACGATGATCTCACGATGATGCCATCCTTTTAATTGTTCGCGCGTCATACTCTGGAAAACCAAGAGGAGCCAAATACTGAACTGTGTAGCCCCGCTAAGGAGGATCCAAGTCAGGCATAGCAACAGCCGGCAGATCCTCACGCATCTGTTAAATGTGTCTACTAGTACGCATGTTCTGTTCTGCATTCTTTCCTCTGCAGTGTGAACATGCCAGAAAGTGCAAACAGTGACTGGAGGCCAGTGCATTCCTGTCTGAGACAAAGCCGCGGGCGCAGACACGGGTGTACTGCACATCTTTAGAACACACACGTGCCTGATCCTGGGCTGGCACAAAAGGACACGAGGTGTGGGGGCGGCACTGGAATATGAATAAATAAGAGTATCCATACTTTCTAAAATTTATTTATTTTTACTTTATGTGCATTGGCGTTTTGCCTGCATGTCTGTGCGAGGGAGTCGGATCCTCTGGAACTGGAGTTGCAGACAGTTAGTGTGAGCTGTCGTGTGGGTGCTGGGAATTGAACCCTGCTCGGTCCTCTGGAAGAGGGGTCAGTGCTCTTAACCACTGAGCCATCTCTCCTGCCCTGACTCTTCATACTTTCACTCCAAATGGGGGAAAATGGGTGGCTAGTCAATAACGGTATTGCGTAAGTGTTTGGATGCAGTGCCCTTTGAAAGGGAGTGAGAAATGGCACAATCCTTCCTCTCCTCCTGGACAAAGAAGTGGCCTCGGTAGGAACAAACCCAGAAGCCCACCCCCACACCCCCATCAAGTCCACACGGTGATTTGAGTCTATGTGTGCTCACATCTTGTAACTGCCCACAGTCTAGTTTTGCTCGTGGAGTCAAACTGCATGGGTTTTAACGTTGTGACTTACTATCTGTATGGACCAGGTAGCTAAACCCTCTGTACCTACTTCTTCATCCATAAAATGGGCATAGATGACAATGCATTTACCTCCAACAATACTTCGCTAACAACTTCTGTATTGTTGTGAGCACTGAATGAGCTAGACTATATAAAATGCTTGAGGGGTTGGGGATTTAGCTCAATGGTAGAGTGCTTGCCTAGTAAGCGCAAGGCCCTGGGTTCAATCCTCAGCTCAAAAAAAAAATAAATAAAAATAAATAAATAAATAAAAATAAAATGCTTGAGTCAATACCCAGTACCTAGCAAGACTCAGTTATTACTGTTTAGTCCATTTTGTATGGAGTCCAGTAATAATCCAAATTCAGCCCCTTTATCTCCAAATATAAAAATGTTCACAAAGTTACCCTTCATAAACCATCCTCAAGAAAATACGAATGAGAGTCTAGAGAGCTGGCCCTTGAGTTCAGTTCCCAGCACCCACATGGTGGCCCACAACCATCCATAGCTCCAGTTCCAGGGGACCCAATACCTTCTTCTTACCTGTGGAGGCACCAGGCATGCATGTGGCATGCATACATATGAGCAGACAAAACACTCATACACAGAAAATAAGTAAATTTTTAAAGAAAATAAATACTGGGGGCTGGAGAGATGGCTCAGAGGTTAAGAGCACTGGCTGCTCCTCCAGAGGTCCTGAGTTCAATTCCCAGCAACCACAGGGTGGCTCACAGCCATCTGTAATGAGATCTGGTGCCCTCTTCTGGCCTGCAGGCATACA